TTTTTTTTTGTGAAATTTGTCAATTTATTACGTCAATTGACAAAAAAAAATTTTTAGAATGAAACTTGGATAATTTTTTTTTTTTTTTTTTGAAATCGAATTTTATTTGATATTCTTATTCAAAAGTAGTGACATCTAACGGTGAACGTTTTAAGAAAATGAACAATTTTTGCGAATATTTTTCGGTTAATGAATGTAGCATGGTTTGTGATTTGTTTGTGGTTGGCGGCATGAATCATTTTCGTTACATTTTTTTCTCGACTCATCATTTTACGAATTTAATTTTATCAAAATAAAATTTGTTCAATTTGTTTTTTTCTCACTCATCATCAATGGATACTATTTTTGATTCAAATCAAATATCGAATATAACTAATATTCAAAATATAACTACATCATTGAATGGAAGAAAAAATACTCTATATTTTTCAACACCATCCAATTATTTATCAGGTAAAAATTGATTATTTGGATTTGTAATTAAATTTCTTAACATTAATTATATTTTTTATCATTAGCTAAATATGTTTGGAATATAATCAATTCTCGATTAGAAGTGTATAGTTTCGAACCAAAATGTAATAATCGTTTAGTGGCTTCATTCGATTTTGGCCATATTTTCAACGATTCAAACATTTTGATCACTAATGTTATTCGTTTGGCCGATCGTTTTGAAGTGGCATCCAATTTTCGTCATCCATATAAATTAATCACCATTTTAAGTTTAACAAATGGACAAAATTACATCTGTTTATTGGATATTCGTCTTAATTCTATTCTCAATACAATCGATTTTCCATTCAATATAACCTTTGCTGAAGTCATTCTCAGTGGCCATAAAAATGATGTAGAGAATATGCCATTAATCAATGAATTATGTTTTATGAATGGCTGTTTAGCTATCGGCTGTGAAGGTGGTTTAGTTTTTTTCATCGATCTTATTCTTGATTCATATTCACCCGAGCCATTAATACCGAAGAAAATATCAATAATAACACCGAATAGTGCTCATATGGATATAAACAACAAACGTCGAACAGCGATATTTCATAATCAGGTTCTTTGTATAACATTGAACACTGAAGCCAAGAATAAAGGAAAATTCAATTATAGAGCTGATGACGGTGTTATTATGGCATCCTATTTACAAAGCCAAGTTTATGTCAGTGCCCTACATTATATACCACAATTATCGTTGATTTGTGTTGGCTACAATTTTGGCGGTTTTCATCTCTATAATCTTCAAACATTCAAACTGGAATGCAGTTGTAATGTTGATCCAGATCTTTTACCTGTCATCTCGTTTTCATTTCAATCACCCGAAAATGATCCAAAAAATTATTCCTATCTTTGGGTTGTTCGAGGATTTCCTTATCGTGTTCCAAATGTTTATGGTACACATTCTCCTATCGGTTTATCAACAGCTTTCATCTATCTACTTTGTTATCAGAATAGAAAAACTTTGAAAAATTATGGAATCCTATACGATACGTTTAAATTATGTTGCTGCAAATTTGAAATGCCTCTCACTTCTAATTATTCGGAAAAGAATAATCTTAATAAGATTCATTTAGCAAATAGTAGTCGATTGATCGATATGTTTACAATACATCAAATACAACCGATATCGAAATCGATTGAAGAAGAAACAATGAACAATCCAATTGATTATAATTATCTTGTTATAGCATGGGAAGCATCTACAGGAAAAAATCAAGAATCTAGCTTTTATTTTTGCCTATTCGATCTGAATCAATGGTATAAATCTCAAATGACGAAAAGTTTTTGTATCGATCAAAATGATCTTTGTCCATTCATTTCATTATATTCGCTGAATACATTGTCAAAAATGTTTCGCCATAATATTATACAAGCAATTTATTTGCCAAGTATTTCAATTTCAAAATTCAATTCAAACATGTTCTATTCGGAAATTCATTCGTATCCAGTGTCAGTATCATTTAATTTAATTGTTGCATCCGATTCTCAACTTTGTAATATCAGTTTTCATGGAATTCAAAAACGTTTGCTAACATCGTTGAATTCATCAAGTCTTCAAGATATTAAAAATAATTGTCATGATATTGTTGCTAAATGTCATAAATATGGTCTAATTTTTGGTGAATATTCATCAACCGATGATCTATCAAGCGAAACAAATACAAAACTTTTCGAAATAATGAACGTTGCATTGGAAAATAATCTTAACTCTTTATTAATGAATTTTATACGAAAAAATTCTCTTCACACTGACGATTCAGATTGGATGTTTTTGTTAGATTGGATATGGACCAAAGTCGAATCAATCAAAAGTTCTATTGATATTCTTGTTGCGCCTTTATTTGATTTATCCGGTACTAATGTTTCTCGACATGACATTGCCAAATTGGTTTGTTATGAAAGTCATCTTGAAATATTAATAGTATTGCTTAAACAATTATTGCAAAATTCTACTAATAATTCTAATCTTGGATTTGATAAACTACGAGCACGTATCGAAATTGTTAGTCTGATTCAAAATTATCTTAAGTTTATATTATTTTTCGAAAATTTTGGCTTTTTACCTGAATGTAAAGATTCGGAAGATATTGTCGATAAGAATCGACCAAAATATTCGTATTCTAAAACTTCGGAATTTTATTGCAAACGTCGAGCTGATCTTATGACAGTGAATAAAAATTTTTTCAAAAGTAAACATATTCTTCTTATCGACATTCTTATCAAACATTTGGAACCTCATATCGGATCGATATGGAATGTTAAAGATCATAAAAATCTTTATCCACCTCAAAATTTATCTTCATTGTGTAAAATTTTTCTGCTAGACGATGTTCCATTAGTATATAAAGAATCAATTCTTTTTTATTTCTTTTATGATTTATGCGATAATCTTGGTGAACATGGAATTGCTCAAAAACTTTCGGGTTTAATTTCAACCATTGATATTGAACAAGGTATTCAGTATTTCATCGAAGGTTTATGGTTTCTGGATCATCAACAATATGATCGAGCTGTTCAATCGTTCACACATCCCGTAGTAACAACTTCATTGAATCATTTTAAAATTCATATTGTATTGTTTAATGATTTAATGCAACGTATTATTGAATTGTTTTTGTTTGAAGATCAGCCACAAAAAGCTTTAACATTGACAATGAATTGTAATCATATTTTATTGGATCAAGAACCAAATGAAAACCTTTACATTCAGATTCTATTGCTAAATGGAAATTTATCAGATGCATTTGAATTTCAACGACAACGACGTTCGGATTCAAATTCTTATCATCTTTTGTATAAGTTATTTTTTGTTTGCGAAAAGATGAATACATTGGTTAAGATTTGTCGTATACCTTTAGACAATTTTGAAGAAGAAGTTTTTATCGAATATCTAATCAATTCAAATCATTCAACATCAAAAATGATTCTTGTTTTGTACTTTATTCTAAACAATAAGCTTATTGAAGCAATTAATATTGTCAAACAATTTGAACAGGAATTTCATTTTGAAGAAGAAAACAAAAGCATTTTAAATTTGATCGATGCATATGTTACTATATTGCCATCATCTACTCTTGATTTGGCTAAGCAAATTTTACGAATTAATAAATCGAATAAAATAAATGAAATTCAATCAGAAAGTAATATGATCACTAATCAATCAATCACTTTGACTCCAACTCGAATGTAAGTTTAATTCAATTTAAATGATAATTTTATTATATAATCATTCAAATTTACAGGAAAGATGATTATTCCAAAAATCCGATATATTTATCGCCTGGATTTTCAAAATCAAAAATCTTGAAAACAAAAAATCAAAATAATATTAGAAAATTGTTTACAATCTTAAGGACACCGGATATGAAACGTAAAATAACCGATAGTGTTAATAATAGTTATCGATTTGATTTAGGCGTAATGAAAAAACCTATTTTAAAATTTTCAAATGATTCAAATATTGATAACGAAACTGGACATAGTAAATTGAAAGTATCATTTAGTAATGAACTTGAATTTTCGGAAAACATTGAAATTTTCAACAATGAACAATTGGCCAATCCAATAGAATCGAATACGAAAAAAATTAAAACAATCGAAGAAATAACATTATCATCAACACCAACTTCTCGATCCATAAACAAACTTAATAAGTTAATAATATTAGATTAATTATTACTTTTTTATAGTTTTATGTTATTAGATCAAAAATCACTCGTAAACAAACAATAGCTACGGATTCACCTACACATCGTATGACATTACGAAATCGAAAAAATTAGTGAATAAATTCTTTCGTTATAATTCGATAAAAATAATCATGAATGTTGTTTATATTGATTGAATTTCATTTGTCTATATATTTTTTTTCTTTTCTTGATGATCATTTTAATTTTAAACCTTGTTTTTTCTTTCTCATTCATTAATTTAACCCTAAAACGGATTTCCTTTTTTTTCCACATTAAATAATTCATTCATTAAAATAAAAATTTTCTTTCAACGATGATGTTATTCAGATTGCATCATATCAACAAAACAAAAATATGAAAAGATTCTGTGCAAAGATTTTGAATGCTTGCGTCATCATCAATAACATGCCACAAAACAAACACATAGACATAGACAGAGAGAGAGAAAGATCATACAATGGATCAATTTACTGCTGCCATACACGATGTCCGTATGCGTGTACATATATGTGAAGTAACGAACACTGAAAAACAAAACTCAAAATCCTTGTGAGTGTTGTGTGTTGGGTTGTTCAAAACACCAAATGCACTTTTTTTTGTGTGTGTGTAAAACTCACTAACGTGTTATAATGTAAGTTATAAAGTTCATCATTATTTTATTTGTTTGTTGATTGTCACCGAATGACAATGATTATTATTTGAATAAATTCCTTAGAATTTTAATTTCTTTTATATTTCTTCCCTTCATCAATCAATCAATCGATTGAATATTTTTTTTTCTTCTTAAATTTGTGCTATCATTCATCAAAAGAATTATTATTATTATTATTATTTGAATCATTCGAAATTGTAAATTAGAGATAATGAGTCCAACAAGTAAAAAACAACTATCAAAAATGGCTATAAAAAATGAAATGATGGATCAAACATCATCTGACAGTAGCAGTATGGATCAATCGGATATGATGGGAAGTAATAAATCTTCATCCAGCTCGAAACAATTTGGTCGTGTTAATCGAAGAATTTTGGATAAAGATTCGGAAGAATATAGAAAAAGGCGCGAACGTAATAATTTGGCTGTGAAAAAATCAAGAAATAAATCTAAACAAAAAACACAACAAACCCAGCAACGTGTGAATGAATTGAAAGAAGAAAATCAACGTTTAGAAACAAAAGTAAAAATCTTATCGAAAGAATTAAGTTTTCTTAAGGATTTATTTTTGGCCCATGCATCATCACATAGTGGTGGACAAACAATCGATTTGAATCTAAACGATGAAGAATCACATATAATAATGGACAATAGAAACGCTGATAATAATGGACAAATCAATCAATCGCATGTGATCTCATCATCATTCTCGAATAAATTATCCTCAACTACATCGGTAATCAAAAAACATTAATAAATGCTATTGTAGTGATCATATATTATTCGGTCGCATTATGAAAATGATAATGGCAAAAAAATATTAGAAAATTCAACAAATTCTATTTTAGAACAACAACAAGTTTTTCCATTTATTTTGTAGACCTAATTTGTTGCAGACAAATATGTGAAAGAATTTATTTTCAAAACAAAAAAAAAATGTATAATATTATAATGAAAAAAAAAATCTTATCATATAATCAACCAAAGTATCATTTTTTTTCCTTCTTACCAAAAAAATTTTGGTAATAATAATAAATTTTTCGTATTTTTATTTGATTAAAATTATTGTGAGAATACAAATTTTGTAGCCGATGATGATGTACCGTCTTGTTGACGATCTTCAGTAAAATTGTTTACACCACGTAAACCGGTGATCGTATTTGGATGTATGGTATTTTGATCGGCTTTCAATATGCCAACATTTTGCCATTTTTCAAAACAATTAGCTAAATAGTGATAAATAGAATAAATAAAAGAAAATTCAAATTGAAAATAAATTTCACATACCTTTCCATAGTCGTACGGCACCATCATCACCTGATGAGGCCATCAAAGTACCAGTAATATTCCACGATACTCTCCATACCTGTGAGCCATGATCATCAAATGAAGCTACCACTTTGATATTATAACGACGTTTGCTGCCGATCGGTGGATTGTTGATCGAATTGGCCACACTTGATGTTTGCGAAAAAGGTTCCGTAGAATCTTTTTCATTTTCAATCAATCTTATGGAAATTATTTTAACATCTTTAGTTGTAGCCGCTCCTAAAAGATCATATGAACGGCCAACATTCGGTGCAAACGCTATATCATGTACTAATTCGTTAACATCTTTAAATGTTTTATCAACAATTTGCTGCCAATCACGAGCCTGATCATTAAATTCATAGAATAAAATTTTTGATCCTTGTACGTTGTTATCGTCGCTACCAACAGCTATCATTGGAAAATTTTGTCGAAACAACGAAGGATTCCAAGAAATAGAACTACAAGCTTTGTTACAATTGATTTCATATTGAATAGACCATTGGGTAATGTTCATGACATCAGGTGCTTCGTAGATTCGAATGATTCCATCGAGTGAACAAGTCGAAAGAATAAGACCAAAATGTTTCGGTGCAAACTTGACATCTGTAACAGAGGTACGGCTATCGACAAAACTGTGACGCTTTATCCAAACAGATTGGTTGTTTTTTTCACTTGTGTTATTATCAGCAACTGATTAAGACATTAATTTTTTAATAGAAAAAGAATTTAATCAATCAAAAATGTGATCATACCCATCTCTTCCCATACAATGGCAGTTCTATCAAACGAACAAGTGGCAAGTATTTGTCCGAATTCAGGATGTGCCCAAGTCACTTTCCATACAGATCCTGCATGAGTTTTCCATGAAGATGTACACGTCCATTGGCCTTCATCACCAATGTCCCAGACCTGAAAATATTTGAAATTAACATATTTATTCAAACACAAAACCAAATGTCAACAGTACTTTGACACTTTGATCCGAAGAACATGTAGCTAATCGTCGGCCATAATAATCATAGGCTATATCATGGATCAAATCTTTATGATCGGCTTGTATACTTCGTGAAACCATCTTGAAATTTATTCGATTCAAATTAAATCCTAAAGCCTTAAGAATTTTTCTTAATTTTTAATTCCCATTGGAGCACATGACAAGTATGGGTAAAATTCATAAACAACGTTTGCAAAAATTATGATCGAAAAAACTTGCATGCATGCAAATCTCAAAAAAATATTCCAAAAATGAGTAGTGATTCAGGTAAGATTTGCAGATAAATTTTTCAAATTCTCATTGTCTTTCTTTTAGCGAAAATATTTTCCTCGTTACCGAAAGAAATCTGTGATATTAGCCATCTGATCGGTATTGAACCAGGAACGAGTAGCAAAAAACCTGAAGAAACATTATACGATTGGATTCCAAAAAAAGATCAAAGTGATGATTTCAAATATAAAGTTTATTCTTTATACGAAACTATTGAGCAGAATAAATCTTCATGTTCTCGTCAAGCGGGCAAAAAATGTCTGAATTCTAAACAAAGAAGAGCTTTGTTTGATTTAAGTAAAGATCAATTAGATTTCAAAAAATTTAAGGCCATCAATCAACTTTGGCATTCATATCTGGATTCAGTGTTGGAAGAAGTAAAAACTAAATCTGATGAATTGAAATTAGCACGAATCGATCTACATGGAGCCTATCTTTTAGTTTGTTCCTCGAAAAATCCCTCAGTTATTGGTATCAAAGGCTACATGGTACAAGAATCAAAAAATACATTTCGAATTTTAAACAATCAAAATCGATTGTTGGGTAATTTTATTTTTTTATATAATACGAAAAATTCAATTTAAAAACCTATAATTTTTAATTTACATAGAAATTCCAAAATGTGGAACAATTTTTGCCTTCAAACATGGAAATAGATTATACAAAATCAATGGTTATAATATAATGATGTCCAGTTTCAATCGTTCGAAAGCCAAACCCAAAATGAATTTGATTTGTGATTTATGATTGATTTATTATTATTAGAAATGAGCTGTAATCGAATGAATTTCTTGTAAATCATCGATAATCTGTAAAAATAAAAATAAATAAAAAATTCATTTCAGAATCAATATGTTTTACAATCATTTTATTCTCTTCCATACCTGTTTGGCTGAGGTACCAATCTTTTTGGCAATCTCAAATTTTTCATTCAAAGATAGGTGTACATATTTATAGAGAAGATCACCATCGAGAATATTTTTGCTAGGATTCATAAGATCCATTTTTCTCATCTTAACCATTCGGAATGCTTTTGGATTTAAGCCAGCAATATGTTGAATATTAGTAGTAAGTAAATTTTGTAACATCAACAAACGTCTATAGGTTTTTTCAGGAACCGGTAGCAAATAACCAATACTACCATCTAATGTTGCAAACGTTGTAATATGTCGTCGAAGATAAGTCTGTTTTAAACGATTATCAATATTTTTCGATTGTATACGACAACGAATTCGAAAAAATGAATTGATAAATGATCCAAGATGAAAATCACCACGTCTAATCAAACGTGTACCGCCAATACTTTCCAATTGATCAGGCTGATAAGCATATAATATGATATTTTTGTTTACATCTGATACTACAAAACACATTTGACTATTGTCGATCAAATATTCACATGCATACACTTGTAATGATCGATGATCACGACTAACAAGTGATAATGTTCGTGTTTCTTCCTGATATCGTAACAACGAAATAGATTTATAAACATCACTAACCAATATCAAATTTTTCAACGATATTGCAGCATGAACATAGATCTGTGTATCTATGAATGCAATACCAATCAATTGTGATTCTTTAAGTTGCCAGATGTAAATTTTTTGTCCAATAGCTGATAAAAGATAACCACAAACCTGGCAGATAACAGTAACAGGACCTTTTTGTTCCTTACAATAGACAATCTTAATTTTGTTTTTGGTCAATGGTTTTCCAGGTTCTGGAACAACTTCAATTATGTCAAATATCCAAATTCTTCCACGATTGGTCACATCTTCACCATAGCTATAATTTGTGCTTACAGCTATGTATCCTTTAAGACCTGAACTAGTACCTTCGGAAGCTAACATTACGGTTTTCAATGAAGTTATATGTTCCCATTCATCGAATTGAACTAAAGTTCCCGGAATGATTGTCCAATTGACTGGTGATAATAATTGAAGTTCAAATTGTTCCGTTTTACAATGTATATAACGAGAATCGGTTTCAATAAAATCATAGTCTTTCTCTTCGCCACCAATTCGAACGATTTTCGTTATATCGATTAAACGACTTGTAACAATTGCATAGGTCTTACTTTCTGGATGATAATTTACATAATGAACAGTACGATTGATTGGAATATGTTTGTAAGGCCAATATGAATCTAATTCATAACGATTTGCAAGCGTTGAAAATCTTAATTCTTCGTTATCATTGAAATACAGATAACCATTTGGACAATTGACATTGTTGAACATGGCAAACGAACTGATTGCACCATCGATTTCCATACTATGCGTTCTTAATTCACCACGATAAGTCATAAAAAACCAACAAGGATATGGACCACAAAGAAAAACTCCCGAAAATCCACCGATATTGGTAAACGATCGTAGCCATGATCGATTTTCGTACAAATAATTTTGGTTAACATTATTATTTTCATAAAATTTTGGCAATTTAACAAATTGAAGATGAGAACCAATTTTTTTGAATCGTATTTTTAAATGATTTTCAACTTGTGATTCATAATATGAAAATATTTCATAAATGAAAAAATCTTCATCAAAACGAGCAAACAAATATGGATGACTATTTTGTAGACCAAGGCCACAGACAAGAATTTCTTTGGTAATCGGCATCGTTAACATATCGGTTTGATTTTGATATGAATGATCTGTTGTTTGAATACTGTCTACAAGTACGCGTAATCCTAATGGAAAATTTTTTATCAAATAAACCAATTTAAATTCTGGAAGATTATAAATTTCAAGAACACCATTTTCTCGTACAATAAAAAGCCAATATGTAGGTTCGGTTTTTGTTATAATCGTAATTTTGGCATCATCATCATATTTTTCTTCATTATCATCATTCATCATATGTTGATCATTTTGATTTTGACAATCGTTATTGTTATTTAAAAAACTAGCCATCGAATTTCCATATAATAGTTCATCTTCTTCATCTATTGTTGTTGCGGATGATAGTGTTGAAATTGTAGAGGTCAAAGGTGGAGCTGAATTTTTTTGTTTTACGATTGTGGATTTTTTCGAATTTATCGATTCGGTTATTTTGGTTTGTGTAGTGAATAAACCGCTAACATCTTTATAGATACAATGTGAAACAATACGAGATTTAGCTGTTGAAAGATCCGGTTTAAGCACAACCAAACGAGCGGTACTTTTTACTAAATCAATTTTTAGTCTCAACATAATGATCAAACCTTTTTCCGAAATAATAACAGCATAAGGATCTGCAGTAGAAACATGAACTAATGGAGATCCAATATCGATGGGAAAATGTTGAAGCTCACGTGTACCATCCAACAAACGAACACTTCGGGCACATACTTGTAGAATATATTTATTATCACCAATATTGCCGGCAAAAATAGTCGGACTTTGTGTGATGAAACCACTTTGATCAAGTTCATTAATTTCTTGACCAATTTGAAAAACTAATGTAGAATCTTCTTGTGTGATAATCAAATATTTATGAACCATAGCATCGTTATCCGAATAATATAGATTCGAACTATATGCTGTCCAACAATCATAACATCCGGGTAATTTGAAACTAGTTTCAATCTGTGGTTTGATCGAACGTTGTAGTACTGAAACACCACCGGTTTGAAAATAACCTGAAGTGGTAACAATTTCAACATGAATATCTTGCTGACTGGCCATATTTTCCAAAGCCATGTTTGGTTCACCAATACAAACATTACCACAAGGACCAATATTATAGATAATATCGCATAATTTTAATGAACAAGATAAATTATGTTGTTCAATTGATTTATGATGAATTCGTAATAAACTTTGAGTAGGATTTTCATCATTTATATTTTCAATCTCTTCCTTATCTGAATTCATACTTTGTTCTTCGTTAACATTTCCTTCATGTTTTTCATTCGAATCTAAAAACTCTTCCAATGATCGATCATCTAAATTAGATCTTTTTGATTGTTGATTATTACACCAATCATCACCATAAAGATATTCATCTTCAGATTGAATATTTTCATTATATTCAGGAATGATCATTAAATTTCCATTACTATTACCATTCTGATAAGTAAATCGTGTAGAAGAAGATATTTCCGTATTATTCATATCTGTTTTTTCATCATATTGAATAAGCAATGAATGGCTTAAACGAGATCCAATAAAATAAAAACCTTCATCACATTTTACAATAGAAGTTGCTATGACGGATGATGCGATATGAATGAAATTGAATGTTCGAACACTTCTAGTCATATCGTTATAAAGTTTCAAAACATATAATTCTCCATTTTTTAAGCTTAGCAAAATTTTATTATTCGAAATAAATGTAGCCTGACAACAGTCTAACGAAATGATGACATCATCTTGTGTTTTCAATGGAAATGAAGTATTGCTATCGTTGAAGCCATTCAATGATATACCGTAAGGTGGAAGACCTTGATTTAAATGTATTAAAGCATTTGTGGCAGATATTAACACACCGCCAATTGGTTTCGGAATCGGTAAGGCAGCGAATGTATTAAATGGAAGATTATTCATAGACCATATATGAGGATGAACTCGTTGATGAACATCCAATGATAGAGTGATCATCGAAACGGTATCTTGTCGGACGGCTATCCTACCGGGCCATGTTTGTACCGGTTCATAAAGTATCATCAGTGTTGGCTCATAATAATTATGTAAAAATTGTATGTCAAGCACATTCGTTATATTGACTCCATATTGTTCTGGATTCAATATCAATTTGTACGATGGTAATACTGGTAATTTTTTTTGGTTCATAGATGGAGTATTTTGACTGTTCAGACTTGATAGAAACAATGAATCTTGATTATCTTCGACGACTACATCCTTACGAAAAGGTATGATTAAGATGTTTTTATTATACACTAACATGGCAGCACATCGATTTTCTGGATCAACACGAACCAATGGAGGTCGAACATGAGTAGTATAACCAGATCTCATATCATCATCTTCAAAATAATGCATCGATATAGTTTTGAGATCATGTGTGTTCGGATCATATTCGACCACTGAAAGTTTTGCATCATTAAATGCTAATAGAAGACAATCACGATTGGCGGCTAAAAATGAAACAGAATTTAATGATTCAATGTTGGCATTCAACGTAAACGTTTGTAGACATTCGAGTTTAATATTATCGGACAAATCATCATCTTCAGAATGATGAATATTTCTGGTGATAGGATCATTAACATTAACATTTTTCGATGCAATTTGAACATTGATCAGACGATAAACTTTAAGTTGATTCAAACCGGCGGTAATTAAATTTTTTTCTGAATAATTATAAAAATGACAACATATGGAATGTTCCACCTGAGTGGATGGATGAATTGTCTTACAAACTGCGTACATTTCTTTTTTGGGTGGGAAAAAACTACAATAAACCAATAAATTTTAAAAAAATCTGAAGTTATTCATAATCGCTAAATTATCATTTTGAGTCAATAATAATCGGCGGTATATCATTTGGTTATAGCAGCATGCATGCTAAAAAAACAACAACAGATGATTTCCAAAATTAAACCAAATTGCCATTAGATGGCAGTACTTTGTAATTGAAAATATTTTTAATTCGAATCTTTTCTTTTTTTTTTGTTCCTGAAAATTTATTCATCATTATTTTGATTATTAAGATTTTGTGAATCATATAATTCTCTAAAATGAATTAATAATTCAGTTAAATTATTTCCATATTTTCCCGATACTGGAATAACTTTTAAATGTGATAAATTATTTGTATCTAAATTTTTTTGGAATATTTTCAATTTCATATGTGAATCATCCATATCCATTTTGTTGGCAATGATTGTAATAGGTTTTTGTAATAGTTCACTTTTATAAAGATCTAATTCATTCATAAGAATTCTTAATTGTTCAAATGGATTATCAACGGACATATCGATGACAAAGAAAAGACATACACAACGTTCAATGTGTTTGAGAAAATCCAATCCTAAACCTTTATTACAATGAGCTTCTGGTATGATGCCCGGTAGATCAGCGATAGATAATTGTTCCATATCTTCATATTGTACAATACCAACCGATGGTTTTAATGTTGTAAATGGATAGCTAGCAACTTTTGGTCGAGCACGAGATAATGCACTTAATAAGGTTGATTTTCCAGCATTTGGAAATCCAACTAAACCAGCATGGGCAATAATTTTCATCTCAAGAATCCATTTATTATTTTCACCTTGTGCTCCAATTTCAGCTACATTTGGATGTCGATTTTTATTGCTTAAAAAATAATGATTACCCTTTCCACCACTTCCACCTTTAGCAGCTAAAAATTTCATCTGATCACAATATAAATCGGCCACAATTTGACCTGTTTGAGCATTTTTGACTAGTGTTCCAATTGGCACTGATATGATCATATGTTGAGCATTTTTTCCAAACATATCTTTTCGCATTCCATTTTCTCCTTGTTCACCCGTATATTTAGATTTAATATGATTCAATGATTTAGTATTTTTTGATGCCTCAAAAATAACATGACCACCATGACCACCATCTCCACCACTTGGACCGGCTTGTGGATTAGACCATAATTGAAGAAAACAAATCATACCATCACCACCTTTTCCACCTTGTACATGAACATATTTATAATCAATAAATTCTGTTGCATAATTATCATTTGAAGATTTTTTCTTCAATGATCTTAATGGAGCGGCTGGTGAATATTTTTCAACATTTTGTTGATAATTTTCCGTTTTAATTTGTTTAGATAATTTTAAATTTGATGAATTCGAATGAATAAATGATTCGGTTGTTATGGAATTATTAACATTCAATGATAAATCAATAACGGAAACAAATCTATTCAAAATAATACGTTTACGAACATGTGAAATTAATGACATTTTTTTTCTTCTTAGCAATACAATATTGGGCCATATGCAATATCACATGTGGCTAGAATATACGAGAAAAATCTCGAACAGAATAGATGAATGAAATAGATGTTTCTGGTCGTTTCGAGAAAAATCTCATACAAAATGAATGGAAAAAAATGAATGAAATAGACGTTTGGATACGTTCGGAGAAAAATCTCGAACATTCTCCACTATTCTCGTAACCACTACAACATACGACAAAGATCCCGCCTTTTCTTTACTGTTACAGAGTTTACGAGATGAATCCAAGTGGAAATAGTCGAGATCGGCCGCGAGTATATAAACCCCGACGACGATCGGCTACAGCAACTCAATTGACTTGAAAAATTAAAACGATTCAAATCTCTTACAAACAACGCGAAATTTACAATTTCTCTTTATTTTCAACGCTATTTCAAATTACTATTGCTACGATTTTTTATCTGATATTACTAGTGTTTATTTGTAATCAACGAAAATGCCATCAAAAACATCGAAAGCCCCAGCTATTGGTATCGATTTAGGTACCACATATTCTTGTGTTGGTGTATTTCAGAATGGTTCCGTCGAAATCATCGCCAATGATCAAGGCAACCGAACAACACCCAGCTATGTTGCCTTCACCGATACCGAACGTTTAATTGGTGATGCTGCTAAGAATCAAGTTGCCATGAATCCAGCCAATACCATCTTCGATGCTAAACGTTTGATTGGTCGACGATTTGATGAACCATCAGTCAAATCGGATATGAAACATTGGCCATTCAAAGTTGTCAGCGAATCTGGAAAGCCGAAGATTGAAGTCGAATTTAAAGGTGAACGAAAACGATTTTGGCCTGAAGAAGTTTCTGCTATGGTATTGACCAAGATGAAGGAAACGGCTGAAGCATATCTTGGCCAGAAAGTTACTGATGCTGTAATCACTGTACCGGCTTACTTCAACGATTCTCAACGACAAGCGACCAAAGATGCTGGAGTGATTGCCGGATTGAATGTATTGCGAATCATCAACGAACCGACTGCAGCAGCTATTGCATATGGACTCGATAAAAAAGGTGGTGGCGAAAAGAATGTTCTTATATTCGATCTTGGTGGTGGAACATTCGATGTCTCGGTATTGACCATCGACAACGGTATATTCGAAGTTAAATCAACTGCAGGTGATACTCATCTTGGTGGTGAAGACTTTGATAATCGTTTGGTAAACCATTTTGTTCAAGAATTCAAACGAAAATTCGGCAAAGACATCATGTCGAACAAACGAGCATTGCGACGTCTACGAACAGCTTGTGAACGTGCTAAACGAACATTGTCATCATCAACTCAAACAACGATCGAAATCGATTCATTGCATGAAGGAACCGATTTCTATTCTACGATCACTCGAGCACGATTTGAAGAACTTTGTTCAGACTTGTTCCGATCAACATTAGAACCGGTCGAAAAAGCTCTTCGAGATGCCAAATTGGATAAATCTAAAATCGATGAAATTGTATTGGTCGGTGGTTCAACTCGAATTCCAAAGATCCAGAAATTATTGTCCGATTTCTTCAACGGTAAAGAACTCAACAAATCCATCAATCCAGATGAAGCTGTCGCTTATGGCGCTGCTGTTCAAGCCGCTATATTGACAGGCGATACTTCTAATAATGTTAAAGATTTGCTATTGCTTGACGTCGCACCATTATCATTGGGTATCGAAACTGCTGGTGGAGTAATGACCACTTTGATCAAACGAAACACTACCATACCGACTAAACAAACGCAAACATTCACCACCTATGCCGACAATCAGCCTGCTGTCACTATTCAAGTTTATGAAGGTGAACGAGCAATGACCAAAGATAACAACCGCCTTGGCACGTTCGATCTGACTGGAATTCCACCTGCACCAAGAGGTGTTCCACAAATTGAAGTCACCTTTGATGTAGATGCAAACGGTATATTGAATGTATCTGCAGTCGATAAAAGCACTGGACGACAGAACAAAATCACTATCACCAATGACAAAGGCCGCTTGTCGAAAGCCGACATTGAAAAAATGGTTAATGAAGCGGAACAGTATCGTGAAGAAGATGAACGACAACGTGAACGAATTTCAGCCAAAAACCAATTGGAAGCTTATGCATTCCAATTGAAATCGACGATGGAAGAAGAAGCTATCAAATCGAAGCTTTCGGAAGAAGACAGAAAAACGGTTTTGAACAAAGTGGAAGAAACATTACGATGGCTGGATTCGAACCAATTGGCCGATAAAGAAGAATACGAACATCGACAAAAAGAATTGGAAAGTGCTTGTCGCCCGATCATGACGAAAATCTACCAACAACAACAACAGCAACATCCTGGCGCTCCTGGTGCTAATGGATCTTGTGGTAGTAACGCATATCCCGGCTACGGTGGATTCAACTCGAACAACGATGGACCAGTAGTCGAAGAAGTTAACTAATCTAATCAATCAATAATAGATGTAAAGTAATTGGCATGATCTCGACACATAGTTCATTAATATATCATAACATCATAATAATGTATTAGTCATAATTTTATTGTATAAAATATTATAAATTTTTTATTATTGAATTAAATAAATTTTTTTTGAAAAAAATAATCATTTTCGTCTTTTTTTATTTTTATTATTTTTATTAACAAATTTCTTTGACTTTTTCTTGGCTGGTGTAAAGTCATTAGAATTGTCAATATTGAGAACAGAAATGTCTTCGAACTTGGTAACATCATCGGCAATCGAATTGACAGTAGCTAATTTTCGAGCTTGAGCTTTCTGTTGTTTCGTCAAATTCAAACGGATAAAATGTTCTTCTTCATATTTTTTCTTTCTATTTAGGAATTTTCCGATACCAGATTTACGATTTAATCCATCAAATTCTTCTTCAGGTGCATCATCAAATTCTTTTCGCAATTCGTTTATTATTGAACAGTTCATAGCACGTTTTTTGGCACGTTCCAAATTTCTAGTTTTACGATCTTGTTCATCTTCATATTTCATTTGTGCTAACCTAGGTGGCACATAAACTTGATTTTTATTGCGATCAACTTGAGGTTCTTTATTTGATTTTTTTTCGTTTTCACTTTCTTTTGTTTCATCTTGATCACTTTCGGATTTATTTTCATCTTCGATATCAAAAGAAAAAGTTGGCCGAGCATTCAATGGATTGTTTTCTATTTGCATTCGATTACTGTTCATTGTTTTCATCAAATTATCAACTTGATATTTAAGTTTTTCTTCCAATGGTTGTATCTTCTCTAGCACAACCCTTTCTTCTACTAATCTTTCTCGAGTTTCATCATTATTTTCGCCAAGTAATCGATGTTTTACAATACCAGTCAAGTCGATCAAGTAATTGACAAATATTCTGTTCTTCAAATCAAATAAAGAAATACCAGATTCAGATCGAAATTCATCATTCTTTAAACGATCCAAAAGCTTCTTTGAGGTTAATACACAATCAATTAAAGATTCTTGGAATGAATTCAAAAGATGATTTGTTTCAGAAATAGGATTCTCATCGTCCATCTTTGATTCTTTAATTTTAATCAATGTTGAATTTCACGCCAACATGAAAACATGCGTCAATTTTACTTGATCAACTATTTATACCTGCATGGAATGGATAAGTAGTTTTAGGATTTGTTTTTATATAAACCCGAGTTTTATGAATCAGTTTATTTTACAAATTATTTTTCATTAATCATTTCCAAAATGAATAGACAAAAACATCGTTGGTCGCTTAGTTTTACAAAGTTAGTCATTATTCTCTATTTTATTAATAATTTTTAATTAAAATTTATTTTTATATTCAGGAATAGCAAAAGTGAACGAACCGATTTATATTCACCGCCTGGTTACAATTCCAATCATGGTTATATTCAAAATGAAGGTAGTCGTGAAGTGGATAATAATTTGGTTGTAAAAAAATCTTGGGAGATAGCATTAGCACCATTGAAACAAATTCCAATGAATCTTTTCATCATGTACATGGCCGGTAATTCCATATCAATATTGCCAATCATGATGGTCGGTATGCTTTTTCTGGGACCAATTAAAGCTATATTTAGCTTCAATAAAAGTAAGTTTGTTTTTTTTCATTATCCATTCATCTATTTATTTTTGTTCATAGCATTCAAATTGATCGAAGGAAACCAGGCAATCATGCAAAAATTGATCTACATCATAGGTAATTTGGCTGGAATCGCATTAGCACTTTATAAATGTAAATCAATGGGTCTGCTTCCCACACATCCATCAGATTGGTTGGATTTTGTTGAACCTCCTCAAAGAATCGAATTTTCCGGTGGTGGTATTGCTAATTAATTTATGTGTTTATAATTTGATTTTGTGTTAATAATGTTTTTAAAATGCAAATAAAAACCGAAAAAACAACGTGTTGTGTATTTAATTTTACCTTAGTTTTATTTGTTACTTGAAATATTGTGTAAAAATCAAATGGATCCAAACGATCAACAGCCTAAAAGTAATCCTTGGTCGGAAACAAAATCGATTGATACTCAAGATGCATATATCAAAAGAGATACAAAACAATGCGTTCAAGGTCTGCCCACTGTATTGGCAAATGATTTAATATTGCAAAATTTATTGAAACCAACGGATAATCCTAAAAAACCGGAAGAATTAGGTGAAAACGTTATTCCATTGCAAGTGAATTTTGGTGGTCAAGAAACAAGAGAATCGGATGGAAAAAAATTAGCAGTCAAAGAAGGACCAAATGGAAAAAAAATTCAATACGATCCGGAAAAGGGATTTGTAATGAGTAGTTGGAGTAATTTCGAATTAGATCCAAAGGCACCAGATGCACAGTCATTAGTGACCGATCCTAAAGGAATTTTTATCAAGCACATCACTTCAACCGTCATTAATCCAAATGATTTAGCCAAAGGTATGCAGGGACCAGAGATCGATATAAAAAGTTTCACATCAACTTCTCAATGTCTCGCTAGTAATGCATGGTCAAATGTTCTACTTTATAAGCCACAAGAAAAAGTTTTTAAGTATGATATTGATGAGAAAAAATTAGTTCCCGAAGATGATTCAAGTTCATCGTCTTCATCTTCGTCTTCTCAGCACTAGAAGCAGAAAATTTGTTAAACTTTCTGTAATTTGATTTTTACAATTAAGAACTAAATTTTTTTTTATTTATAAAAAAAATATTGTGTACTGTGTATAATTAATTTGAAACTTGTTTCACAGCATTTACAACATGAATAACATAATAATCATGATAATACATTAGTATACAAAGTGGTTGTCCAATGATCAACGATAACCACATTGCATAATTGGCAACTTTTTTTGGTAACCTTTGTACCAATAAAGCTAATGGTATTTGAAAGGCCATTCCGGCAAATGCCCATATACGATACATGTTCAATGGAACGGATACAAGATATTCATGGAAAAATGCTGAAGCCAAAAATACAATAGCCGATGCGTTCATTGTGTTCATTTTGAATGATACAACCAATGGAAGATAAAGATGTCGTACACACCATCGATGTGTTGGTGTGTTCCATGTTCGCCAAAAATATTCGATTGATTCGGAATTCCACCAATCTTTATAAAATTCACGATCAGCAAATCGAAAAATTTCACCAAGTAAATTCAAATATGAATGATAAACGAGATAGAAAAATATCAACCAACATAAATGATTGGGAACCTTGTTTTTTTTGAAAATAATATAGTAGTTGTGACAGAGAGTTATCATATAGGATATTTAAAAATTACATACAGCCAATTTTAATAATCTTTCCAACATTTTTGTATAGGACATTTCCATGAATGGTTCTAATGAATTTTGAATTGCCGGAACCATCCATTGTTGTATCAAAGCAATCTCAATCTGTACGAGAAAAAACTAATACAATTCCAATGATTAGCTCAAAAATTAGATCAAAAAAAAATCAATTTAATTAACTTACAATTTCCAATAGACGTTTAATTAGAAAACTTTTACGAATTCGTTTTATTCGAGGAAAATTTAATTCATAACATAAAGTTGGTGCAAACATAAAATAATATAGATTCGATAAAGTTAAATTGTTTGGATATTCAACAATTGGCGATGATGAGATAACTTCACTGATATTATTTTCATTATTTGTTTCATTGTTATTATCGATTTTTTTCGATTGAACATTATTTTTACGATGCCAATAATTGACCATATGATAGGAAACTAATTTCAAGAAAACAACCGTATAATAAAGACAACAAGTAGAACCGGCTATTGGATTAAATTCATAACAATGAAATACAATTGGTGGTATGGTGAGCAAAATAATCAAATAAAAACTGATCAATGTGAATAGATGAGAAAATTTTAGAAAATATTTTGTTAAAATTAATTCAATAATGAATGCAAATAAAATGAATGCATTCAATATGATTAATAAATATAATGTAGGTATTATATTGCCGATGGTAAAATAATTGATAATAACACGCATAGGATCAATTAATATTCCATATTTAAGTACATTTTCAAGTGCAACACGAAAATTTGATAAAAATAATATTGTATAACAAAGATTAATTAGACCACGATAATTAGTATATCCACTGGATGAACTGAATAATGAATCTTTTGGCTGATGAACTCTATTAATCGATTTTTAAAAAAATTTTTTATAAGGAGTTATCGAAGAAAAAATAAACACTTACGGTTTAATCGAAAAATCTTTGAATGAAGAATTCATTTTTCCATTCGTCAATACTGATGATGTACTCAGATTATTATTTTCATTATTACCATGTTTGATGGTCATGATGGTCATTATGATGATAGAACCTGATTCCTTATCATCCAAACAGCCAAACTTGATCAATGATGCTAAAGAAGAAGAAAAAAAAATATAACCGCATTTAACAGAAATAAAAAAGTTGATTTTTGAAGATTTTTTTTTCTCTGATGAAGGAAAATTCTCATGTTCAATTCAGACATTAACCAGTCATGTTCATCAACAAAAAAAACCAATCATTATTATCAACGTCATGACCAAATCGAATTATAATCATCATCAATAATCAATAATCACTAAGTGATTCTTCTATTAAAATTTTGACATAATATAAAATAAACATCCTTTTGTCCTTGAATGTTTATCCATTAAGACAATAAAAAAAAAGATTCTCCGCCTTAAATTCAGGTGTTTTTTGAAAAAATATTATAAAATCAATATTTTAATAATAATAATTAATAAAATTTAATTTGTAAATCCAATTATGTAATTAAATAAAAAGAAATTTTTTTTGTGGTTGTTGTTGTTGTTAAAATCAATTCGACATAAATCAATTTATCCTTTAAGAATACGATTCATTTGTCTATTTTGATTGCTTACTGTATCCTGTGCTTTTTCCGATTTCGTTGCAATTGTATCGAGCATTTTATTTTGACTATCAATTTCGGTACCCAAACCTAATGCCAATTCTTTCAAACGGCTAATACCAAGTCCCATTTCGGAAAGATTATCATCCAATTGTTTATCAATTTCCTGCGATCGTATCTCATATGATGATAGATTTTTCGTTTTATCTGGCATGTTACGGTTGTTTATATCATCATTAACATCGAATTTATGATTGATTCGACTATCGTTGATTACCGATGTATTTTGTGATATATTCTCCAAAGTTTGTTGAAGTTTATTATCACTGGCAGATGAGGCCAATTTTTTCACTGGAGCCAGATTTTTAGCGTCCTGATTTTTCGAGAACATATTTTTAAAACCTCCGAACATACTTTTCATCGATGTAATATGTTTTTGTGACATACGCATGATTGAATTAATTGAATCAAGTTTTTCATTGACATTATCCAGCTGTTCACGTTGATGCAATAATTCTTCAGCAGTATGAACGCCTATTTTTTCGGTTTCATAGATAAGTCCCAAAGAATTCTTTGTTGATTGTAATGTTTGTTCTTCAATTCGTCGACGTTCTTCTAATAGTTGTAATCGTTTATCAGCCATCGATGATGTTGGATCGTTGTTAGAAAGAATATAGCCTTTCGAACCTTGTCGAGGATGATTAAGGAATGTACTATCATCGACATCTTCGAATTCGGGAATCGAACCATTTTTCATGTAAGACATTATGCAGGTTAATTTTAATCACAAATGGGAGTAGTAGTTTTGACGTAATGAAAAAAAATCTAATTGGAATTTATTGGCAATAGAAATATTGTTTTTGTTTTTGTATACAATCAAAAAAAAAAAAATACAAAGAGGAAAAATATAAAAATGAAAAAAAAAAATTTTAATGCGAAACAATCAAAATATTAAATCGAATATATGATGACGACACAGCTCATGCAACAGCTACCACTGTTTTTGATGACCATCATAAATGACGTTACGTATTTAAATGGATTTGTTTGCGCCATTTTATGGCTGTTGGAACCGTTCTGAACTGAATCTGTTTTGTGAATTCGGATTTTAAAGAAATAAATTAATTTTCAAGAATCATCATTATCAGGACAATCACATTTGTTGTTGTTGTTGTTGAAAAGATTGTTGCAATCAAATATTAAAGACAAAATAATATCATTTCCTCATGATTCTTCATAATGATGATGCGCCAGTAATGGATTCTAAATTTAGAATCATTCATCGCGGTTATGTTCATTTCTCATGTTATATACAAATGATATACCCTAATGATAGGATTATATTATTGAAGCAAAACAAAACAACAGGAGCATTCATCAATCGAAAAAATAATAACGTAGCGTGCCAGATTTTTTTTTCTCTTCACACAGACGTTTCATGTAATCATTACGAAAGAAATTCAATCAAAATGGATGAATCAATCAAAGAAGAACAATTTTCCAGTAGCCATAATAATTCGATTGATGATATTGAAATGATTTCTCTTACAGATGAAAATCTTGGTAAGTTGAAATAATTATTTATTACGCAGAACTTTTTTTAAAATTTAAATATTTACTAGCTGATTTACTTATTACAAAATATGATTATCTGGATTCATGTATTGCAAATGAAAAATTTGATACACAATTATGCAGTAATTTAGTATTGTTGTTGAAATTTATTCTGGAAAATGGTCCACATCTTGATGATGATATTAATCATCGTGAACAAATGAACATGTTTTTTACCTTGTTTCGTAATATACTTCGTAATCATTTAAAATATTTACCCGATTCAATTAATTTACTTATATTAAGATTGATTGAAATTCGTGCAAGTAAATGGAAAATTAAATCAAACATTGAAGAATATTATATGAAAAAAGTGAATAAACTTCAATCGAATAATAATAATAATCAGAATATGTTCAAAACAAACAATAATCGTTCAAATTATCATGAAAAATCATCAAATATTCGTATGTCAAAATCATATAACGATGTTATCAATGCTAATAATAATGATGGTTCACCACCGAAAAATTCAAAACCATTAAAAATGAATACCAAAGGTATTTATAAGGATGAAGTTTCCATTAAAAATTCTGATTCGGGAAAAGGTAAATTTCAAAAAATTTTCAAACGAAAAAATTTAATCAATATTTCATTGTAGTTATGGGTATCAAAGGACGTAGAATTCATATGATTGAAGAGATGAGTGATACAATAATCTCTTTTCAAAAAGGTAATTTTTTTTGTAATTTTTCTTTGTAGAAATTTTATTTATTTATTTTCAAAATAGTATCACCAACTGCAAAAGAACGTCTTGTACTGATATCCGGATATAATCGTGAAAATATTGAAAAAGCTAAAAATCTAATAGATGTCACCATACGACAGAACATTTCACCAATACCAATCGAATCTAATGATGTATCAAATTTTAATTTGACGATGTCATCGATAAAAACATCCGTGGCTGATCCGATCGAAAATGGAACAAATTTTTTCAATTGTTCATCATCATCAAACGAAACAAACATTGAGAAAAATTTGATGAAAAATTCAAACAACAATGGCAATAAAAACAATAATCTTATCAACAATAATAACATCGATGATTATTCATTTTCATTCAATTTTAATGATGAAAATATTCAAATCAAAATTTCCGATTTAATTATTGGTAAAAAATTACAAAATTTTTTAAACAAATTTAATTTTATTAATTTTCTTATTAATGAAAATGATGATTATGATAATAATTCACGTGATAATGATAAGAAAATTTTGCAAAAAACTAATGATGATGATCAGAAAAAAACAATTATTACCTATGATCGTGATTTTTTAATGAGCTTTCGTGAATCTTCGCATTTTATTGATTCTCGTTTGATAAATGATATAAAGAAGAAACAAGAATGTCTTTTGCGGTGAGCATTCATCCATCCATCCATCATCAATCATTTAGAATAGGAATCGTTCATCGACCAAAGTTTTTTGAACTAAATTTTTTCGTGCTAATCTTCCATATATACTTTGTGCAAACTATAATTGCGATGAAGAAAATGAAGAAAATATGAGAAAAAAAATTGTCAAATCTCAAACAAATTACCAACCATTGATAGTAAATAAGTGACAAAAGCATCGATAATAAAATCATGTGATACTAAATCGACAATTATAAATGTGATCAATTCTAAAGTGATCAATGTTGTTTCAAGTCCATTGAATAAAATATTCTCGAATAAATTATTATTATCTAAAATATATATGGATGATCATTTTATTTTAGTTTTTTTTCAAATATTTCAATCATTGTACTTACCATTGTAAAAATATCCAATTCCCTGCGAAACCGATGATGATTCAAAATCCAACATTGATTCTAAACTTGTTTTATCCTGTACTCTATAATCAGCTTTATCCAACATATGAGCAATAAAATTGATAAGAAAATTATTAATTTGAACATATGTTGAAACCATTTTAGTTTTATCCAAATCGCTTAGATTAATCGAACCAAATGTTTTGATTGGTCGTTTATTATTATTATTATTACTAATAGATTCTGTTTCCATTAATCGTTGACGATATTCTTTAAAATATTCATAAATAATTGATGGTAAATACATTTCAAATGTTTGTTGATCAGTGTTTGGTAATAGACCACGTTTTGAACAAAGATCACTTTCTTCCATATCTAATAATCGATACATTTCCAACATATTTACATCACTTTGACCATGTGGTGAAATTCCATGAATATAGTAACCATATTTTTTATAACGAAGACAAAAAACGCTTATCTATTTTACATTCAGGAGAATCAGAAAAAAAAAGATCCAAAAAAGTTAATTATTGATAATACTTACATTGCTAACTGAACAAAGATCAATAAATTCTTCAAGTTTGTTGCATATGAAATTTTCTTTAAAAAATTTTTTATAAAAATATTGAATCAAAATTAAAATGATATATATTGAGGCTATTGTAGGTATACGTATGGCTTGGCATTCAGGTATTTCATCCGAATAGTTTTTATTGGGCAATAATTTTATATAAGATTGTGGCGCAAGTTTACAGAAATTATGAAATTCTTCTGTTTCTAGAATGATGACAATTAAAAAAAGATGTAATGCAATATTGATTCGACGTCTTACAGATAATTCCAGCCATTCATTTGCAAGAAAATAACTTCTCCATATGCTTACATCGGTTATATCCGAACCATTAAACATTTTTCTATTCGAATCTTTGCTTACATTGTCCGAAATTCTAGGCGATATTGTACGTTTAAATTGTTCTTGTCTTCTTTTTGGACGTTCCCAATCAATGAAAAAAATTTCAATCGATGTTGAATCAGTCAATTTTTTAGTCATTTCAATAATTTTACAAATAAAAATTACAATTAAATATTGTAAAAATTGTTTTTGATGCTGATCAGTGAATATAAGTGCTCGAATCATCGATTGATATTTAAAAATAAGAATTCTATTCATAATGAATATAAACAGAATGAATGCGATTATATTTGATACTGATATTATAATGTAATTAATAAATATTGGTATAATTTGCCAATTAAAAATGTGCATTGTATTATTAAGATCATGATTACGATTCATCATTGACCATGTACGAAATGATGACCAAAGTATTGATAATGATAAGGAAAAAATCAAAGTAAACATATGAAAATTGTACATAGTATCATCATCATCATCCATACGATAATTGACAGTAAGTTCGGTGCGTAATTGTTGTGCATTATTTTTACTTTTTGTTGATAAATAATCATAATCAATTTGAATTGTTACATAATATGTTTGAGTATTTGATTCCAATTCATCAATAATAATATCCAAGGTAATATGTTTAGCATATATTATAAATTCAAAATCTTCATTCGAATTTGATTGACTTAACAATGTATTGAATAGAAAAAATCTTGTAATATTATTCATTACTCCCGGATAATTTAATGAAATTGAATTCAATTGATCGGGTACTGAAAGAAGATAAAGCTGATAAAAATGATTATTATTTTTTGAATAATCCCATAATTGTTCTATATGATTCCATAGACATTGTTTTCGAATGTTAACACCTAATAATAAATGTTCATGATTCATTTGCTGGTGACCACAATGAAATAATTGATTCAAAAATATTGGTCCATATTCTTTTAATGATCCATTTGGATTCAATTCCAAATGAACAATATCAATCATATTATTTGATCGATATTGACTATATAATCGGTTTCGATCATAATCTTGTTCCATTTTCAATATATTCCAATTGATTTCATTTGGAATGATTTCTCGTTCAATTTCATCACATAGATCTTCATTAATATTTATTCCTTTTGTATGTGCTATCGATATCATTGTACAAACATTGATCAAATATTGACAAGCTGTTTGATTTCGATTATATCTACAATTGTAAACTGAATGAAAAAAAAGAAACGTAAGAAAACAAAATCAAATCTTTTATATATCATATTTCAAAGATCGCTTACTGGCAGGTCTTAACGAATCGTATAAAAATTTTGATATAAAATGATTTTTTTCAAATCGAACAGTAGAATATGAAATTAGCATTTTATAAGAAATAATATTATTACGTTCTAAACAAATACCATCTTCAATCAAATGACTTGTCTCTGGACAATGACATGAATGACCATCATTAAACAAATAAAATGATAAATGACAACTTTGACAACATAAATCATCGAATGGGTGACAATCCGAACAATAGAATTGATTTGTTTCATGATTTATACGTAAAATTTTTCCATCAGTACAATCACAACCATTTGCTGGACAATAACCACAATATCCATTAATTAATGTTTGTCCATTTCTGCATTCAGATATTCGTAAACATTCTAATTGACCATTTTGAATTATAGTACGATAACCATCCCGACAAACACAATCAGTTCGTTTATCCAATTGACTTTGAAGAAATTCACGAGAATTATTTGAAATCAATTTTGATGAAAAAAAATTTGTACATGATTCACATGAAAGTGTTAATGTATCAAAATAAGTATTTCCGGCGCATTGTTTTGGTTGAATAAATTTTTTTATTATCGATTCATTTGTTAAATTAATCATTAATAAAAATATCATTAAATGAATAAACATTTCAAAAGCCATTACAACAATAGAAAAAAAAATCAGTTATTATGATGTTTGGAATTGTGTTAGACAATGAATCAATATTGAATCGAATGAATGAATGAGAATATCCTATACTAATCATTATCGCTATAGCAACCAACAACAAAAAAAAAAATAATAATAATAAATAAAATGTACTAAACCGAACTGGATTTGTTTTGTAATTATTTTATTTTATAACGGTCTAGGCTTTTTTAAAAGAAGTCAACATGATATTCAATTACATTTTTCATTTCATTTCAAAAAAAATTTGGTGTCAAAAATATTTGTAGGGATAAAAAATTTCTTTAAAAACAAAACTTTATTTATTCATTTTTTGTGTGTTTTGTAATTAAGATATTGATTTTGGTTGTCGATTTTATTATTGATCCATCATTTTATGGTTCAGTTAACGCCACTTCATTTTCTTCCATTGACAACGTTTTATTCATTTCACATTTATTCCATTGCATTGTGGTCAATGAACATAAAGAATTTACCGATCGAAGTTCTGCTTCAAATTTATCCAATGAATCCATTCCGCATAAAAATATTATATATGGAAATAGACAACGTTCATATTTTACAATATTACAACATAATTTAATACTATAATCTTCATCATCGGTGGATAATGTTTCATGTAATGATTCAAAACATTTGCTGACCAAACGAAAATTTTTTGTCAATGTAATTAAACAACCATCATCGATACAACCTTCAATAAGAATCGATGGATTTTTTGCTTCCGAATATGTTTGCAATGAAAAAATTGAATCGGTAATAGTTCCGATTAAAAACCAACTAACCATACATGTGATGATATACATTCTTTCGAGTCTTGATTATATGTGAAAACATTTTTTAAAAAATTATTCCTCGATTATGCCTATTTTTATATCCATTTGAATTTTTTTTAAAAAAAAGAAGAAACTAATCATAAATTCAAATCATGTGCCTTTTGTTTTGACATCAAAATGAAATTTCGTCAGCTAATTTTTTCCAAAAAACGGTCTTTTTTATCATTTTCTATTGTTTTTTTTTTGTTTGTTAGTGACACAATTTCAAATTAAAATTAATTGTATACATTTTGATTATGAAATTGTTTTCAACCATAATTCCTCAGATTTATTTTCCATTCATTCAAGTGACAATAAAAAAATATGAGATACTTTCACAGTATTAACTCGTAGTGTATCATTTTTGATCAGGTTTTTCGATGTTATAAATTCTTGAAATTATCTTGACCATTTAGTTGATCAAATCAGCTAAGAGGTGAATATTTTAATTAAAATCATCTCTGATGAGAATCAAAAAAGAAATGTCAACAACGAGCAAAGTTTTCAAATACGAAAATTCAGCTGCTATAACCATCTTGAAATGGAAAGTTAAACCTGGATTTGCGGTTAATCAAGTTCCATTCGTTTTGTTCACATACCGTGAAAACAATGTTGATGAAGATAATGATCGACAACAATCATCAAATGCTGAACAAAAATACAAAATTACCAAAAGTGGAATCATAATCAAAAAACTATTGAAACAAAATGGTGATTGTGTTGAAATGAATGACCATTTATTTGAATATGAATCATGTTCGCATCCTACTTTGATGAAAGATCTTTGTGCTGTTTGTGGTGTCAACATCAGTAAATTTGATTCAGTTGAACAGCGAAAGATAGCTGAAAATACTAATGTTTCGATGGTTCATTCTATACCCGAATTGCGAGTCAGTAAAGAAATTGCCGAAGATTTGGGCCGTGCTGATGAAGAACGTTTGTTAAAATATCGTAAACTTGTATTGTTAGTTGATCTTGATCAAACAATTGTTCATTCAACTAATCAAAACATACCTAAGGATCTCAGTGCTGAAATTTTTCATTATCAATTGTATGGAACAAATTCACCTTGGTATCATACCAAGTTTAGGCCATACATGAATGAATTCCTGGAAGAAATTTCCAAATATTATGAACTTCATATTTGCACTTTTGGTGCTCGACGTTACGCTCACCATATTGCCCATTTGATTGATCCTAAATGTAAATTCTTTCCTAAAGATCGAATTTTATCACGAGATGAATTTTTCGATCCACGTTCCAAAACTGGAAATATGAAATCGTTGTTTCCATGTGGTGATTCTATGGTTTGCATCATTGATGATCGTATAGATGTATGGAATTATTCACCAAATGTTGTTCAAGTTAAACCGTATATATGTTTCAAAACTGATGACATTAATGCACCAGAAAAATTGAACATTGGATTCGAAAATCAACAATCAAAAATTATTGACCAAGAAGACAAAGAAATTAATCAAAAAATTGATGAACAAAAAGAAGAAACGAATACATCGACAAAAGATGTTGACGAAGATAATTCGAGCAACCCTGACGACATTATAGAAGAGAAAAAAACATTAACAGAATCTGATGAAGAAAGCAAAGAATCGGTAACCAATTTAAAAAAAGAATCTGACGAGAAAAACGATTCTTCCGAAAATGAATTTGAAAATCTTCTTGATGATCATGATGATTATCTTTTATACCTCAAAAGTATTTTGATCAAGATACACCAAAAGTTTTATGAAGAATATGATGAAAAAATGAAATATCGATGTGAAGGAGAAGAAATTCTTATTCCCAATTTGAAAAAAATTATTCCAAGCGTACGACGAACAGTGTTGCATTCGGTTAATATAGTATTTAGTGGTGTAATAGCGACCAATATGACACCCAGTTCAAATCGTTATTATCGATTAGCCGAATCTCTTGGTGCTATCGTAACAAATGATATCATTGTAAATGGATCACCGAAAACAACACATTTGATTGCAGCCAAATGGGGAACCGTAAAAGTGAATAAATGTCTCAGATACAAACATATTAAAATTGTTAAACCAGATTGGCTCATCGCTTGTGCAGATCGATGGGAAAAAGTGGATGAAGAATTGTTTGCTCTTACCAAAGACACAGTATACAATGTTAATGAAAAAACTGACATCAAAAAAGTTCATTATGAATCATTTCGTGAAATATTGAATCAATCACCATCAACATCTCGAGAATCGACTCCAGATTCGGCAACCATGTTGGACCTATCGCCATTATCTAATTTCAGTATGAACGATCTTGATGATATGGGCAAAGAAGTAGAAGATGCTTGCAGCGATAGTAGTGCTGAAAGCAGTAATGAAGAACAAGACAATGATGATGATGATAACAATAAAAAAATGAAAAAGTATTTCCACAAAAAAATCAACTATATGGACGATGAAGAAGAAAGCATGAATGATTATGCCTGTGAAGGTGAATATCCCAAAGGTTGGAAAGATGAAAAAAACGAAAAACGTGGCTGTAAACGACCTGCTGAGGTTTTTGATGACGATGACGATGATGGTGATGATGAAGATGTCGAAGATGAGAGGATCGACGATGAATTAGATTTATCTGATTCTTCTTCCTCAACTCAATCGATTGGTTCGGTAGACGAGGAAATGGCTGCGGCATTAGAAAAAGAATTTTTCAATCCTTAATTCACATGAAATAATTGAATAATTTTTTATCATTTATTTTAATCATCATCAAATAAAAATTCATATTCATCTATTTTTTTTTGTTGTACAGTAAAAACAAGATTAATTAATGGAGAAAAAAAATGAAAAATAAAATAATTTGAATGATCAATTGAACCAAAATGTTAAAATAGACGCTACTATTTTAACAAATGAATCAGCAATTTGCCTGCATTCATTGTCAGTTCTTCGAATCACACAAACATCATAATCGGTTTACAGTCTTTGAAATTTTATTCAAATTTATTTTAATCGTTGAAAAGAAAAATGGAGAAAGAATCAAGTGTTATGGTCGAATCAATCAATAATGCTGTGGTCAAAGCTCGTACTAAAATTGGTTCGATGGTGGAATTGCCTTTCACGAAAGTTGTCGTCCATCCACTGGTTTTACTTTCGGTAGTTGATCATTTCAATCGGATGGGAAAAATTGGTAATCTTAAACGTGTTGTTGGTTTACTTCTCGGTTCGATCAAAGGCAAAGGAGTTCTCGATATTTCCAACAGTTTTGCAGGTATCAGATTGACAATCCTAAATTTTTTTTGTATATTTAACATTAATTATTTTTGCAGTGCCATTCGATGAAGATGAACGTGATAGATCGGTCTGGTTTCTAGATCATGATTATTTGGAAAACATGTATGCCATGTTTAAAAAAGTCAATGCCAAAGAACGAATTGTTGGATGGTATCATACTGGGCCGAAATTGCAACAAAATGATATTGCTATTAATGAATTAATTCGAAAGTATTGTCCTAATTCAGTTTTGGTCATCATTGATGCCAAACCAAAAGATCTTGGCCTCCCAACTGAAGCTTATTTTGCTGTTGAAGAAGTTCATGATGACGGTACTCCTACAAATAAAACATTTGAACATTTACTTAGCGAGATTGGCGCCGAAGAAGCTGAAGAAGTAGGCGTTGAACATTTGTTGCGCGATATTAAAGATACAACTCTCGGATCATTATCGCAATTGGTGACAAATCAACTGGTTGGCCTTAAAGGTCTTAATGTTCAAATCCAAATGATCAAAAATTATCTAGATTCGGTTCTGAACGATAAACTTCCTATGAATCATACGATCATTTATCTATTACAAGATATTTTCAATTTAATGCCCGATGTGAATAATAACAATTTTGTCAAATCCTCATTCATCAAAACAAACGATCAAATGTTGGTCGTATATCTGGCATCATTGGTTCGTTCAGTCATAGCGTTGCATAATTTGATAAACAACAAAATCTCAAATCGAGATGCTGAAAAGAAAGAATCCACTCAAACTAAAGATACGAAAAAGGAAAGCGAAAAAGATACCGAAAGTAAAAAAGATGGTAAAAGCAGTGATGATAAAAACAAGAAAAGTAAATGAATAATAAAAATGCAATTTTGAATATTTTTTTCTTCATTGGAATGATTTATTAAAGTAAATTTTTAAATGAAAACAATTTTCTGAAATTTATAAATTATAATGATCATCACATAAATGATATATTATTGCCGCTATTTTTGTTTGAGAAAAAGGCCCATTTTACCACAAATTCTGTAACAACAACAAAAATCGTTAATGTTTTCGAATATTTATGTTGACTTACTCCGACAATTCCTGATGATTATAATGGCTTAAAAATTCTTTAAAATTATAATCAGGATTGTTGGTCAATTCTCTGGCAAAATAGTATAATCCCCAAGGTCCCGGTCCAATTGCGACTAGTCGTTCGAGTAGAACGCGAAAAATGAATTCTTTCAAGTTGTCATATTCTTTGAAAAAATATAACAGAAGACAGATGAAATATTTTGTATCCATATTCGGAAATCGGAGATGGTTGATCATGGCAGAGAAAAGATAATAGAGACCTTAAAAAATGGAAAAATGATTGATTAAAAACCAGAATGTAAATCATTTAAATATTTACGTTCAGAGCCAAAAAATTCTAATAGACATTTGATCATGTTCAAGGATAGCTCTTTATCAATGTTAGCCATGTTAACGTCTCGATTGTCCTTAATAACATGTTCAGTGATCGAATAGAGAATCTTGTTAATGTATTCGATTTCGGTTTGTTTACTTTTGGCTGAATCAAAATATGGTTGCAATTTTTTTAAATGATATAAATGACCAGTTTTAAGAAATACATCGATGTGAATTTTGAATGGTGATTCGGCAATGAAATTACCATCGTAAGGGTAAACAATTTTGTTAAAATTTTCCAAACTTAACGATAATGAAAGAGGACTTGGAAAATTATAGGCTTGAGGAGAAGCACTTAAAACAATGTTATGTAATTGGAATGAATTATGTGGAAGATAATCACAAATCAAAAAGCTGAATTGACTTAAAAAATCGGAAAAATCATGTAGCAAGAGTAGAAACAATTTTACCGTCCCCTGTACGAACAAAAAAAAAATTTTAAAAAAAATCAATCAATAATTATTACTAACCTTGTGCAAATATTTAAAAGATTCGGATTGAATTTGATCGGTTAGATAAAATGATTTCTCAAATTCCAATAAATCCTTGATCAAAAAATAATAATTCTTCCACAATCCTCGTGCATATGGACCGTTTAAACATTGACCGATGAATGATCGATGAGAAACGAATTCCAACCAGGCAAAAGTGAATGAAGGAAAAGTTAATGGTGACATTGACTTGAGAAAATCGAAGAAAATTTGCATCAAAGATAGTTTTGTATTCACACACTGAACATTAGGAATTTTTGTTAAATTGATAGGACTAGAATTGTTGTAGGCATCCAATTCGTCGGTGAATTCTAGGAAAAACAAAACCATTACCCGATAATAGCAAAGCGGATAGAACTTTTGCATGTTATTCTTATGTTCCAAATGAATTTTTGTGGTTAAATCGGTCATAAAACGATCAAGGACATTAATTTTGAATTCAATATCTCTATATTTGATCAAGAACAAAACAAGATATGTGAATGCATCCAAAACACTGAAGCATTTCATATGAATCTTGGAAAGATTCTTTTCGAATCGTACTGTTTCCAATGCTTGTTGACATCGTTGGTAACACATATCAAAGCTCAATTTCAAAAATGCGTATAATGATTCTTCATTTTTCAAAAAATCCTAATAAAAATTAAAAAAAATTATAGAGTGAACATTAGTCAATAAAAAAAAATTCTTACAATTTGGGCAATGAAATTTTGAATGTCTTCATGATTTTTTTGACCTACATGAAAAAAATGGAACCATTTCTCCAGAATGGCTGCCACTTTTACTTGGTCATCCTGATTGTATGATAGCAGATCAACAGATGGTTGCACTTTTTCTTCAGTTAAATCATTTACCGGTAAATTATTAGCTAGTGATACTAGTTTTATTTTCAATTGTGTTGAATCAAATGTGTTATAAAAAGTTGATCTAATCGAATTATTATCAAAATAACTTTTGTTTATATATTTTTGGCCATTATCTTTTTCTTTTAAACGTTTCTCAATATCCGGTTGAATTCGAATGCAGATTTCTTCTATGGATTTTTTAATTAAACATTTTTCAATAAAAATTATGCAACAATTGATATTTTCATGGACAATTCGAAAGATGGTATCTTTAATGAATTTTCTATCACACATTAATTGATGAAGTTTAAAATCTTTGCAAAGAAATTCACAAAGCATATCGGATATGGTTATTGATAACGATTCATGACATTTCATCAATGTATAACCAGTCAATGCGTAACGGGTGAAATTGATGGCCGCATTTCGTAGCTTTTCCGGATCAGATTCAAAAGCAAAATCTTTACGTACAAGAACTTCAACTGCAGTAATAAAAATATTAGGTTTTTCGGCCCAAGTCGACAACCATTCTTGAATAGCTTTGACGATCAATTTTTTGAATATTACGACTAATTCGGGATGACATTGTATTAATCTTAGTTGCGAAGATATTCGTATTTGGTTCACAAGATCTTTGAAAAAATCAATCTCATTCATATGCGAAACTGATTGACCAATGGTTTGTGAAGATATTGGTGTAGGAAAAGCAGAAATTTTTGGTTCTTTTGAATTATCTGATTCGGGACTAATCATTACAAAAGGTTTAAGATATTCACAATACTTTGAAACGGCTTTCTTTTTTTCATTATTCGGACTGATATCTTTGTAATCATCGAGTTCCAATTCCAAAACTTTATACAGTTTTTCAATGTCAAACTTAATCTTCAATTTGGAATCAGGTTTAATGTAGATTTCGGTCAATAATTGAAGTAATGTCATAAGCCATGGATTAGGTGGTCGAAAAACTTTTGATTTACCACAAGAATACAATACCTGAACGACAAACGGTACAACATGGAATGTCAAATTTTTCACATCGGCTTCAATCAAAAGATTGTGTAAATCAAGATAAAGCGAAAGAATTGGCTTGTTTCGTTGTAATGTAACCATTCCAATCCATTTACCAGCAGAATATAATTTTTTCTTGAGATCACTGGATTCAATTTTAAGCAGATACATTCGTATTTTTTCATATGATTTTACCGCTACCGAATCAAAAATTTTAATCGAATCAATTGTAACAAGAAAATCGTAAAAAAGTTCATGGTGATTTGCTTCATTGATCGCACGGCAGGTCAAGATTTCTGAAAGAATTTCATAGTTTCGAATATTTTCACTACAATCTTGTATCAATTGTGTAGCAAGCGATTGTAAATTATTTCTGTCCAAATTATTAAAAATGAAATTTAGACGTTCTCTGAAAAGAAATTCCTGATTATTTGGCAATAAAGATGGCTGTTCTTTTTTTAATGAAGATTGATTTGTAATTCTTTGGCTTTGATTTTCGTCATTATCAGTAGATATTTGAGCAACATTTCCTAACTTGAGCAAATCAGTTGAAAGAAGCTTTTCGAAAAGAGCTGGATATTCTTGAAGTCGGGTTTTACATCGTTCTATCACACGAAGGACAAAGTAGACCAATTTTTGTTCCTTTTTTGATGCATTTATGATATAGTAAAGCTTTTGTAATATGAAAGACAATAAATTAGTATCTACAAGAGAACGATTTATTATGCCACCGATAAGTTCTCCAATGTTTATCAATTCATTTTTTTGATATTTTGATAGAAAATCAAGCTCTTTCAACAATTTTTGAACCATACAATTGAAAATATTTTGGTGTTCACAATCATTTGATTGTTTCATATTTTCAAAAACATTAATAATCTTTTCAAATTGTGCCGGTTTAAGATTGGTTTGAGTGAGAACATTTTTCAAAATTCCAATAGCCAATTGTTGAGTTTTTTTATCGAAAAGATCATCATCAAGTGAATGGTAAGAATTTGACGAAGAAATTCGAAAGGAATTTTGATTATCTTCATTCGATGCTCCTTTAATATTATTGTTAACTGAATCAAGTTCAGCATATATTTTGAACATATCTTTCATATTTGTAGAATAGGTTGCCTCTTTGATCATAGAATAGTAATTCTCTAGACAAGATGTGATAGTACTCAAGGTTTCACGGTGAGAAGGTGTTGCCAATTTTTTTGTTGATTCTGGTTTGGCAGATCTTTGTTGAACATAGAATTTGCAAGCATCGGCAAATGGCTGTCCAATCGTTGTCAATTTATCATTAATCCATTTATCTAGCTTAAGATATTCACGACGAGAAGCTACGGATGCTAAATCAATGACAAATAAATACGATGAATCGTTGAGCAAATGATTTAATGCCTTCAAATCTTGACTAATTTCTAAAATTCTTAAAAGCTTATTGGTCTGCTCATCTGGTGCTGTAGATTGATTATAGAGCTCTACCAATGATTCAAGTAAAATTTTTTGATTGGCTATCAATGTAGTTGAATTAATCGAAGGACCAACATTGCCTGTAGACCAAAGTTTTTGTATGATAAGACTAGAATTATTATGATATGAAGTATTTGAACCAGGATAAATAATTTTCTTGATTGCTTTTATCATTAATGACCGGATCAGTTTTGTATGTTCAGTATTGTTGGCACCGCTTTGTTTTATCAAGGCGAATATTAATAAATCGGGACATTGTTCCAACGGTTTTTGCACAAATAAATCTTCAATCACAGGCAATAATTTCTCCTTTTTGGACAATTCGAGTAGAATCCAATATAAAGCATTATATTTCCAACAAATTGAAGCGAGATCAATTGTTTGCTCATGTAGACATTTTGTCCATTCAGGAACTTCTTTGTTCAAGTTGATTTCCGAACAAGTTTCGAATATCGGCATAATTTTATTGTTTTCAATGCAATATTTGATGAAAGCAAACTGAAAATCAAAATTATGATTCCATGGAATGGTGAAAAAAATACGGCCAACATTTTCGATGCCTGAGATTTGAGAGAATAAAGTACAAATATAATAATAAATTAATAATAAATTACCGACAATAATCACATACCAATTTTATTCGGATAATAAGTTTCACAGAATTTTAAAAAGATTTCAAAATTAAAAAACAAACTTGTTGAATATTTTTGTACAAATAAATATGAATCAATCAATGCAAGAAAATGATTCAGTTCAATCGAATTTTCATGACAACCTTTGATAAAATTTGTAAGATTAACAAATTCAGCATTTTGACAATGATTGAATAAATGTTCACATATCGAAACAGTGTCCAATGAAGAATTTAAATTTAAATCTTTAGATAAATCAAATTGTTCGTTTGTTTCCGATAATATTGAATCGGATTCCATTTCGAACAATAACGACGATGATGAAAGACAAACAAAACATAAAGATCAAAACGCATTAAACAAACAAAACACACTCGCACACCCAATGAAATTGGATTCGAAAAAAAAATTATTAAATGACAGAAAAAAAAACGAAAACGAAAAAAGTTGTTCGAAACGGAGAAATGTTGTTTGACTTGTTGAGACAGAAAAAAACTGTTTTGATACAATGCTTGTGATAACTATGCTGCGCATGATTTTTATATTTCACACAAGTCATTCACATAGACAGTTAGACAATGAATCGAACGTTTTTTTTTTTTTTTGAATTTCAATTTTTTTTAATAATAATAATTATTAATAATTAAAATAATCAATCAATCAAATTCATATTCAAAAAATTCATATCAAGATTTTTTCCTTATATGTCTAAAATGTTTGATATATGCTTCGACCAATTTATTGATTTTTGATGGATTAATTTCACCACTTTTGCTATGACAAATCTGTTGAAATTGAAATTGAAATTTAAAATAATGAAAAAGAATAAAAAAAATTTATTACAAACCTTTGGAACAGCTTTACGTAATATATTTTTATATTCATCTTTGTTGATTTTCTTTTTCTGATAATATGGTTTCAATGCTAGTTTTACTTCTTCGATCACTCGTTCTTGACGGTTTAATTTTTTCAAAAACTTAAACGAAAAAAAAATTTGATTTCCAAAAATTCATAATAAATGATCATAATGTAAATAATACCTTTTCTTTTATCACCATATCAACAGCAGAGGTTGGCTGTCCATCGGAAAATTTACCTTTCGGTTGTTTCGAATGTTTACTTTTAGCATTACCGTTAGATTTGATATTGGAATTGCTATTCGATTGAAGTCTTGATGAATTTGTTTTTAGGATTTGATCCCAAATTTCTTTCACGTTGGCCAATGATGATGAATGATTAGATTGTGTCTGAGATTCGATTGGAGATAAACTATTTGGAGAAACTACATCCATATCGACGATTTCAATGATATCATGATTGGTTGTCTTTTCTTTGAGCGTCGATGAGGCTCCTTTTAATTGCGATTTCCCGCTTATATTACCAGTCTTGCTATTCGAAGAATTATGATTTTGTTGTTTTAAAGTCTGGGCATATTCTAGAATTTGAGTAAAATTGCTTAGTGAAGCTAATTTTGCAGCAACATTTGATCGACTGGAAGATTCAATAGAATCTTTCGAAATTGACTGCAAAAAATACAATTATCGAAAAAATTTAATTAAAATTTATAATCTTGAGGCTTACCAAAAGTGAACTTTTTAAAGTAGATTCAAAGCTTATCTTTTCCATATTTGGACTTTTCGAATGATCAGAATGATCAGGACTTTGTAAAGGCAACTCTGGATCGTAAAAGTCACTATCTTTGGCCATGTCAAGATTCGTTTCAAAAGTTTTAGCCGATTGAAATTCACCAGTTGATTTGATTGCCGATGTTGATGATTGTTTTGATCGTGTTACGGTGTTGGTCATCAACACTGGTGATTGAGATTCGTCTTGAGTGGGTGTAGGCAAAAATGAATCATCATTGAGGAAAATATCATTATCGTCGAAATCTGATAAGTTTCCTATTCTATTTTCGACATTTTTTGTGATAACCGAAGCCGATGTTTGATTGTTTTTCTCACTGTTAGGTATTATCTTTGGTAAGAATTTAAGTTCATCGGAGAATACGTTTTTCAAATCCGAAGATGATAAAGTAGTTTTAGATTTGTCATCGTCAAAATGGAAATTTATTGGCGATGAAATGGAATCATCGCTTAATTTTCCCAACAATGAATCATCAGAATGTGAAAGTTCTGGACTCATTGTTTCGATCGTATTACTTTTGTTAAGTTTCACATCCTTCTTGGGTTCATCACATTTTTCAATTGTTTGATTTTCTTCTTGTTTTTTGAAATTTACATTTATGATGATTTTGTCACCTATAGGTAAATAATTATAAATTGGTGATAAAATGTTATAAGCCATACAAACCTTGAGCGAAGATTTCCTTGGAATCGATCTTCGAATACGATTGGAATAAATTCGATTTTTTCTCCACACATTTCTTCTCTTCACTATGATGATGATGACCAGAAATGGTACCCGAAGAACTATTTTCCAAATCATGCTTATGACGATGATGATGACGATGATGATGATGATGATGATGATGGTGACGATGTTTTTTTGCACTTGAACTAGATTCATCTTTTGTTGATGAATCTCGTAAACGATTGTCATTATTATTTTTATTAGATGAGGATTGATTGATTTTTACATTTGATGATGATGATGATGGCTGTGGACAAATGATAGCTTTCGATTCCAATTTTGGATGCTCATTTTTGGAAAATTTTCGATGACGATCATATCGATCATCATGATTATAATCCAGATCACTGTGTTCATGTTTTTTGCTGCTATAATCTTTCGAATGAACGGGTTTCGATGTAGTTGTCTCAATCGTTTTTGATCGTTTAGCTGCCGATGTTGTTGTTGTTGATGATGATGATAATTCTTTATTCTTATGAGCAAGTGGTCTCCCATGCTTACAGGTTCTGATTTTAGCTTCGGATGAAGTAGAATTTTTCGGTGAATTTTTTTTAATATCTGGCTGTTTTGTCGGAATTTTAGTTTGCGTTTCATCTTTCACTTTAGGAACAGGTTTTTTAATTTTAACTGATTCAATAATATCGGGAAATATATCTTGATTTTCTTCGTCTTTTACTTTTCGTAACGAACTTTGTAATTTTGAAGAAATTTCCTGCTTTTTACTTTCTAATTTAGGACGATTATTGTTCATGGATTTTTCATTTTTTCTATCAACGTCGCAATGAACTTTTTCAAATTTTTCTTTCGATTCTGATTTTGATTTTTGGTTTGATTCAGAATTAGCTCCAATTGCTTTCCATTTGGGTCCGGAATTTTTCGATGTTTCATTCATTTCAGGATAGATAGGGACCCATTTTTTCGACAACGGAACATCATCATCATTATTATTCGAAGACTTATTTTTATCACTCAAAAAATTTGTCTTTAATACGATGGGCATTTTTATGGGAAAATGTACATTGATGCCACCTTGTTGAGCTACCAATTGTTTCAATTCATTTACTTCATCACGATCATCTTCATCTTCCGAATTATCACCAAACAGATCATTGATTGAGGGACGTCGTTTAAGTTTAGCTTGCTGAGATTTTTTCGAAACTTTTGTTTCAATATTTTTAATACTGGTATCATTTTTGGAATTTTCTTCACCACTTTCAGAAAGATTTTGTGTTTGATTGATATCACTTTCAATTTTCAATAATTTATCATCTTCAATATTGGCTACAGGTTCTTGTGGTTGTTTAAGTTGATTATTGCCATGATTTTCATCATTTTCGTCGTTAGCATCATCAGGATGGTTCTCATCTAAATCTTTGTTATTATCATCTTGTAATGATTCAATGTCGCTATACATTTCTATATCAATGTTTTTATCATCATCATCATTGTCAATAGTTAATGAAACAACTGGTGATGGTTTTATAAAGCTAATATTGTCTGTATGAGTAGTTCTTTCTTGATGCGCCGTTGATGAAGATGAGGATGAGGATGAGGAAGATGATAAATATGAATTCCCTGATAATGATGATCGCCTATCTGAACTATGATTTTTACAACTATTGCCATTATTTGTTGATGATGATTGAGGTGGTGATGATGAATGATTTGGCGAAGAATTATTTGGACATTGGCGAATCGAATTGTTTGATGATGAAGATTCTGCTTTGAGATAAACTCGACCATCACGAGCAATCGACAAATCTGATGATGAAGCATGTAGTATCTCTTGAGAAGTCATAATTTCACTTAATACATCAATATTGGAAGAATCTCGTATCTGTAATGATAATGGTTCGGTGGGTGTTTTAATTAATGATTTATTATTAACAAAAATATGATGTCTTGTATTTGTTAATAATCCAAGGCTTCCTGCAGACGAACCATCAACAGCGCCACTATCGAATAAATCATCATTATAGGAACTAAGATGATTCATTTCCAAACCATAACCAAACATTGAAAGACCACTGATACCACTAAACTGACGAATTTCTGAAAGCGATCGAGTTTGATTGATTGGTTTGGAAACAGGCAATCCGAATGGTGATTTAGGTTTACAAACAAGACCCAGTCTAGTTGCTAAACGTGATCGTGGATCAGCTGCTGGTAATCTTTTCATTGATAATTTTGATTTTTTTGTACGTTTCCTATATTTTCTTCGTCGAGTTCTTTTCGTTTTCGTTTTATTAGAAGTTTTTGTCTTTGTTGTTTTTCTTTTTTTCGTAGTTCTCCTTCGTCTTCTTTGTTTTGTTTTACGTTTAGTTTTTGTCGTTCGAGTACCAACATTCGAACGTCTAGCAAGAATTCGATTTCGAACCCGTTCGAATGTTCCGGTACGTGCTATTGCTCTTCGTTGTGCTAATCGACGTTGATTATTCTCTTCGTTTGCATCATCACCAAACAATCGTTCAAAACAATCCGGACAAAACCATTCATCGACTGGTATTGTTTCCAATGGTGGAACTAAACATTCACAATGATAACCAAAATCGCAACCATCACAAAGTAATAAACGATCTTCACGATCGCAACGACCACAAATTTCACAATATGTAACATCATCATTATCGATTGTAACTATTTCGAGAACAGATTTTTTAGCAATTGGAACCTAAATATTAAAAAATAAAAAATAAATTACAAATTTTAAAAAAATTTTGTTTTTTATAATTTTTTTTGTAAATATTGTATCTCAGATTGAAAACTAATAATATTCATTTCAATATTTGCATTATAATCACAATAATTGGATTAATATATTGCAAATATTTATCCAAAGTATGCGCAATTATTTTGATCATCATTTTTTTTAAATGAATGGAATTTGATCGGAATTCACTGTTAAATGATAATAATAATTACCTTCATTACAATTTCACCATTAATTGTTCGTCGAACTATAATGAATGAAAATGATTTTCTATCCACTGGACAGGTGTTAATTTGCTAAATAAATAAATAAAATTGGTTTAAAAAATAAATTACAAATTCTGAGAAAAAAAAATATTCGAACCTTTCCCCATTCTTCAATACATTCGAGACAAAAATGATGCATTGTTTCACATGAATCAGGACTACCAATATCTTGACCTTCGAATATATTCAAACAAATATAACAAGTTGGTGTACTATTTGGTGATAATGGCATCATTATTTCAGTTGATATATTTTCCTGATCACTTTCAGTATCATCACCATCATCATTATCATCATCAATTTCGTCCGTAGAATCGTTATCATCTGATTCAGTCACATCATCGTCGTCATCATCATCATCATCATCATCATTATCATCATCAGTATCTTCATTATCATCATTATTATTATTATTATTATTATTATGGTTTAAATTTGTAAATTCTTCATTATTAATGATTGATGTTGTCGTTGATGATGATGATTCAACAATATCATCTTTATCATCTTTTAATGATTTATCTTGATTATGCATTACAATTTATAAATTATTATTATTTTTTTATGAATGAATGAAAAAATCCTTATTATCAAGAATTCAGATGATAAAAATTTATAAAAACAATAAAATATTGAAGAATAATTATACCGACTATCCAAAGAAATTTTTTTTTTTTTTATGTGTGTGTTTTGGCCACAGAGTGGGCTTGTGCTTATTTTTCATTATAAATGATGATGAAGGAAGAGTAATAAAGAGAATGAGAGAGAGAGAGAGAGGAGGACAGAGGAATTATTCATAAACGTTAGGACAAAATTTTTTTCCAATTCAAAAATTCGAATGTTTTTTTTTGTTTGGTTCCAAGATTCGAATTCGAACGATATCGAACTGAAAAAAAATTTTGATAAAAAAATTTTTTTTTGTTTTTTTTTCTCGAACATCATGCCCGAAATGGATAATAAAAATATTCATAAACAAATAAACGATGAAAATAATAAAGCAAATATTCGTAGTGATTCAAATGATTCAATAAAATTATTGAATCATTTGGATGATCTAATGACAATGTGTGAAGAAAAACTTCAATCATTAACAATTGAATTGATTCACATTAATGGTAATAATTCTTTTATTTTTTTTTGTTTTTTTAATAATAATTTTGTCATATCTGTATTTTTGTTTACTATAGCTATTATGTTTGAATTGAACCAACCATGAAATCATTGTTACACGAGGAATAATTTTCTTATTTATAAACCTTTTTCATAAAAATTACTTGTTGTTTAAATAATCAAATTTTTTTGCTGTTGTTAATGTTATCATTATTTATGAATTTTTTTTTGTTGAAAACACATCTCTTAAGATGTTAAAAACAATAAAATGACTATACAAAATTATTTGTAATAGTATTTTTCCAAAGAAGAAAAAAATTTCTGTGCGCGAGATAACAGACAATCCTTGTTGTTGTGTATTATACGTCATTGGCAAAACAAGACAAGAAAAAAAATTGAAATTGTGCAATTGTCTTTGCTTTTCCCATATTGAGTGTATGCCAAAAAAAACACATCATCATCATCATCATGTTATGATTGTCAAAAAATATCAAACTTTAGATCAATCAAAACATTTTAATGATTTGATAAGTGGGTGTTGTTTTTGTTTTTTGCCCATATAAACATTCGATCAGCAATCAATCAGTTTCATTTTGTTTTAATTTCTTTTTCTTTTCTTTTCTTTGATTTAAGTCTTTTATTTCAAATCACATAAATTTTGTTTTAAAAAAATGGTTCAGCCAAGGTAAATTCATTGTTTCTTTAATTAGTTTGGTTTATTTTATTTTTACCAATTTTGATTCTGTATAGCACATTTGATTTAGGACCACATACATTGAAAATTTCTCGAACATTACATCAAATTAATCGTAATCGTTTAGTTGAACGATTACGTTCGGATAAAAATGTTCCCGATCATTCGATGATTGTATTGCAAGGTGGAAAAACTCAAAACAATTATGATACGGATACTGAACCAGTATTTCGTCAGGAATCCTATTTTCATTGGACATTTGGTGTTGGTGAGCCTGATTATTATGGAGCTATTGATCTAACCACTGGTAAATCATACTTGTTTGCACCGAAATTACCCGATTCATATGCTATTTGGATGGGCAAGCTATATACTTTGAATGATCTTGTCGATCGATATAATGTTGATGCTGTTTATTATACCGAACAGGTATCTTCCCCCTTTTTTTTCATCGTTAGATTTTCCAATCAACTCACTCTACATTCTAAATCTATCATTTCTATAGATATGTCAAGTTTTGTCTGAACTTAAACCTCAAGTGTTGTTGACGTTGAAAGGTTTGAACACTGATTCCAATTTGGAAACGTTCGAAACTCAATTCGATGGAATTGATGGATTTAAAATTAACAATTCATTATTGCATCCTCATATGGCAGAATTACGTGTGTTCAAAACATCACAAGAACTTGATGTGATTCGTTATGCGAATAAGATTAGTAGCGAAGCCCATGTTGAAGTGATGAAGTCAATGAGGCCGGGCATGACCGAATATCAATTGGAATCCATATTCCTTCATTATTGTTACTTCAATGGTGGAGCACGGCATGTATCATATACATGTATCTGTGCAAGCGGATCTAATGGTGGTGTTTTACATTATGGACATGCGGCGGCGCCAAACAACAAAACTATCCATGATGGTGATATGTGTACATTCGATATGGGATGTGAGTATTACCGCTACTCATCGGACATCACTTGTTCTTTTCCTGCCAATGGAATATTTACGCCTGATCAAAGAATTATCTATGAAGCAGTGCTCAAGGCTAATCGAACTGTTATGAACGCCGTCAAGCCTGGTGTGTCTTGGAGAGATATGCATCTGTTGGCCGAAAAGACTCAATTGGAACAAATGTTAAAACATGGCTTGCTACAGGGAGATATTGATGAAATGATGAAAGCTAGACTGGGCTATTTCTTCATGCCTCATGGACTGGGCCATCTGCTCGGTATCGATGTACATGATGTCGGTGGCTATCTTGATACGTGTCCACCTCGTAGCAATGAGCCAGGATTACGGCAACTTCGTACAGCCAGGATTTTAGAGAAAGATATGGTATTGACCATTGAACCAGGCATTTATTTTGTTGATGCATTACTTGAACAGGCTCAAAATGATCCTCAACTAAGCAAATTCATTGTATGGCCTGTGATTGACCGATTTCGATCATTTGGAGGGGTATGATTCATTTGAATCTAAATTGTTCAATGTTTTATCAAATTTTTTTTTTTTGTTAGGTTCGAATTGAAGATGATGTGGTTATTACGGCTGATGGTTGTGAACTTTTGACCAAAGTTCCACGTACTGTTGATGAAATCGAAGCTATTATGGCTGAAGGTCGAAAAAAAGAAATAAAATTTCCGCAACAAACATTATTAAAAAATGGCAAATAATCTTTATTTTTCCTAGGCATCCGGTTATCTATATTTGTTTTTATCTAATTGACAAACTGTTTGTATGCAATGAAATAAAATAATCCATATTTTTTTCCTTCGGTGTTGATCAAAATCGAAAAACAAAAAATCCGACCCGATCATATATCCCAAATTTAGACCACAATCGACAAATTGAAAAGCGGGAGTATGCGTTAGCAAATAATATTGTACCATAACGATGATTATGATCATGGGAAAGTCATCATCACGATCATTGCCATCACACACACACACACATACATCCACAGCCATTGATGTTGATGATGGTGAGAATGATAAGAGGGGGGAAAGATTATTGTTCGAAACTAACCAACCGACGACAACGACAACAACGATGACGATCAAATCGATGAAACGCGCATACATTCATACACACAAAAACCAAATATAATAGTTTTGAATGTGAAGAGATGATTGAGATCAACTGCCAGCTGTCCCTGCCAACCAGAAAAAAATCGAATCAGTCCATTGAATAATACACAAACAACAACAGCCCTAGGTGTGCAAAATGGTATTTTCCATCGTTCACTATCATCATTTCCCTATGGATCACTTGCATCCAATTCTCCATTTTTCTATTTGATAGTTTTTTTTTTGTTTTGAAGGATTCAATCCACGACAACAATCACCGTCATCGTGGTCGTGGCCATCATCATCATCAAATCCATAGATGTACCTAAGAGAACAACTTTGGTGCTGCTGTTTCCGCCCGTTTTTTCGTTTCTTCTATTTCATTTTGCCATCTTCATCAAATGAGAATGGAACGATCAGCCAAAAAAAGCAGAGCAGAGCAGTAACCGAATGACAAAAAAAAAATATCCATCCACTACTGAAAACCGTACACACAAATACATACAATTAGGGATACAGTTATCAGTAACAGCCACTGAATGTTCCAACAACCAAAAAAAAAAAATGATCATCTTCCCCTCTTGTAGTTGATTTTGTTTGAATCGTCGAATTCGTTCATCGACTCGACGTTTAACTATCCAACTGTTAATATGAGATCAGAAAGTTGTTGGAACAGCAATGGAACAAATATAGTTCCCGCTGTATGTGTATGGACACAGAAAAAAAAACTAATGATGATGATGATGAGAAGTGGTGCTTTGGTCTGTGTGTGTGCATTTTATATGCCTGAAGAATAAGGGTAGTGAATGAAATACTGTGTAACGTTGTGTATACAACAACAACAACAACAACAGCAGAAGAAGAAACAGAGATTGTGTCCAATAATACTATCTACTTTGTTTGTGTAAAGAACAACGACTACTGATGAAATAATTTCGAAATAACAACAAAACGGAAACGACAGACGGACTGGTGAAAATAGAAAAAAGAAAGAAAAAAAAATTTCAGTGTGTTGTTGGTTCCCTTTGTCAATCGGCCAATACATCCAATCTAACCATTCGATTCATCCAATGATCTTTTCTTTCTCTCGATTTCTTTCTTTAATGATTAACATTATTCAATTTTTTCTTTCGGACAGATCAATTGGGATTTTTTTTTTGTTTCTTCTTGTAACTATGGTATTTTCAATAAGAATCAAACTTTGAAAGAAACTTTGTCCTTTGTTTGATGAATATTATAATTGATTCTAGTGGAAATACCTGAAGAATTTTTTGTTGTTGTTGTTCTGGAAAATCATTTATTTCTGGAACCAAGAATCTTTTTTTTGTTTTGAGACATAAATCAATACGCAGCTGCTTTGTGGTCTCATAATTTTTTTTGTGTGTGTGTGTGCGTTTGTATAAATTTTATTTCTTGTCTCCTTGTTGTCTCGTCATCATCTCTCCAATAATAATCATCATCATCGACTACAAACGGCAACATTGTAGTAATATTATTTGTCGTTGCCATCATCATCATCATCATCATCATCGCTATCCTCGCCACTATTCAACCATCAATTTGATGATTGTTGTTTAGGGATAGCAGCAGCATTTATTCTCCAAACTACCACCATCATCATCATCATCATCAACAATATCAACATACACCATACTATCATCATAATCATCGACATCGCCATTGCCATCACCATCATCATCAGTAATTCAATTTTTTTTTCTTTTTTTTTTGATCATCGTCGTTAAGTTTTCGACGACACGGTTGCTGAAGCCGATACACACTCACACACACACACACAATCATCAACGAAACCGAAGTTACCAACCAACCAACCAACTAACAAAATCATCATCATCATAATAGCACTACCATAGCATTATCATTCATTTATTGATCGTGATCTTCGTCAGGGCAGCCATAATCATCATACAATTTGTGGTAACTGATTTTTTTTCTATTTTGCATCATCGAATCTATAGACATTAATCGATGATCAGCATTTCATCAACATAGAAAAGTATGGATAAATGATAATAATGATGCCACTATCGCTCGAGCTCACTTTTTATTTTCCTCAAATGTTTAATGATTTAAACAAATCGCATTGTGTTTCATCATTATTCTAATTGATACAACAACAACAACATCTGCTCCATCATCAAATCGTTTGTTTGTCGTTTTGATCTTCAAAATATAATGAATAAAATGATAATGATTACAAAATAAAATATACTGATTAAAAATAAGTGAAAAGTATTGTTACCTTAAAAATAGAATAGTATTCAATTATCCATTAACTTTCTAACCACCTTTGGTGGTCAAACCACAACAACAACAACAACAAAATAAACGACGGTATGCGCTGTGTGCCGCAATAAACCAAGGCATTGAAGACTGGTATTATTGTTCAAACTTCGAATTGTTCAATTGTTCGATCATCATCATCATCATCAACATCAATGCTGCACCACTACATCGGCATTGTCGAGCCATATATGATTATTTTCTGTAATAATAATATATTTTTTTTTGTTTTGTTTTGTTTCCATATAAACTTTCATTTTCACTTGGCACACATTGTCACGTTTGATTGTGCCGGAAAAATCGAATTTCAGCAATTTGTCGAAGAAAAAAAAAATTCGTATATTCACAACCAACTTTGATAATTCTGAATGATTGTTTTTTTTTTTGTTCTTGATATAATCTTTTAAGATTCTAGTTTGTTGTTGTTGTTGAAACAAACAATCTCATATATGATAATGCAATTGATCTTTGATTAGAAAAAATTCTTTTGTTTTTTTTTGGAATTTATTCATCAGCAAAAAAAACTTTGATCAGGCTGATCTGTTGTTTCGAAAATAATATTGTGCCTGATTCCTAATTTTTTCACCATCATTTTACTCAATACATTCCATCAAAATCACGATATACAAACTATAGAGTAGCAAAGTCATCATCATCATCTCGTAAGAGCCCAGCTTATTATTGTGGTGATCATTAATAAAAAAAACAGAAATACAAGCACAGTACAAAATATAATCATCAAAAATGTCATTCAAAAATACACCTCCTTCTGCTGTATCAACAAAACTAACATTTCCATGTACCGAATGCAATTTCGAAGCACAAAGCGCTCGTCAACTATCTCGTCATAAAGCTGTAACACATACTCAAAATGCTCTTAAATGTGTCTTATGTCCATTCGTAACGGTTAGTAACACATTTTTTTTCGAATTTAATGTTAATCGTTGTTTTTTTTTTGTTGTTTTGTTTCACAGGCATATCAAACCAATCTTTTACGTCATCGTAAAGATGTTCATGGAATTTGTGGTTCCAAAGGTAATTTGTTGTTATTTTTGTTGTGGAAATTAAAAAAAAAACAAATTCTCTTTCAACTCACAGGTAATAAAAGCTGTAAATTCTGTGGTTTTGTTTCCGAAGACAATGATACATTGATTCAACATCAGATTGAATTTCATCAAGATATTCTCAAAACAGCTCAAGCAAAATTTGCTAAAGAACTAGTCTCGGCTGGTGGTGAAGAAAATGTTGCCGATTTTTCTGCAAATTTCGAATCAATGAGCGAAGATTTTTTAAACAATAAAAACAATTCTTCTAACTCGACAAACATTATTCAAACTGGTAATAAAAAACGAACAGCAAAAAATCTAGATAAACATCAACAAAATAATTTCAAATCATCTACAAATTCGACAAAATCGATGATTGCTAATAATAATAATAATAATAATGATGATGATGATGTAGACGCCAATGATGAACAAACAGAGTTTGAAGAATTTTGGAAAGCAGGTTTTATTGATCAACAATATGACGATCATTCAAATTATTATGGATCACATACAGTTCCACTAATCACAATGAATACAGCTGAAATTGCACAAAACGAAAGTGTACCAGCATCATCACGTTCGAGTACACCAAAATCTCAATCATCATCAAATGTTATGAACGTCAATAATATAAGTAACAACAACAGCTTACATCATCACATGAATAATAATAATAATAGCAGCATTGCAGATTTGCCTGCCACAAGAATCCGTCGACAATACAACTGTAATGATTGTGGATTTCGTACTGTCAATCCTCGTGAATTTCTATATCATCGTCGTGATGGCCATGGATATAAAGTCAAAATTGTTGAATGTCCATATTGTGTTTATGCTTGTCAATATGTTCAGAAATTACAAAGGCATTTACTTTTGGTACATAAACTTACATCTGTCATGGATTCACCATCTGAACAAGGAGGTGCCAATGGTGAATTAGAACAATTACTTGTCAAACGAAAATATCGACGAACATCTCGCCCAATCGAATCAAATTCAATCGAACAAAATGTTAATCATTTAGAAACGATTAATGATGATGCAGCATGTATGTTTTACTTTTCCAAAAGATTTTGTATCCAAAATTAATTCACTTTTTTTTTGCTATTTAGCACCACCGAATGATGATTACGAACAAAATGATCGAGCTCCTGATTTTGAACCAATGAATAATTTTGAAATGAATCTAAATGAATACCATGAGATGATTGAAGATGCTGAAATGGAATCGAATACTAGCAACAATGATTCTGGTACATTTTTGAATTCTTTTTTTTTACTAAATTTACTAAATGTTTATTTTATTTATAGATGATAAAAAATTCATGTTCAATTTGGAATGTTATATTTGCAAGATTAAATTCGGCGACGCTATTTCGGCACAGAAACATTTTCTCAAACATCACAAACATTCTAATTCTAATTACAAAGGAATGACATCTATTATGAAAAATCATGAACAAAATACAGAGGAAAGTGCAAATTGGAAAGGACAACCGACGACTACAAATCAAAAGAAAATTTTTGATAGTAATGCTAAAAACGTACATGTATGCAATTTTTGTGGATATAAAACACGATGGATTTCCGAACTTGAACGTCACATTCGTGTTCATTCCAAAGAAAAACCTTTCAAATGTTTATATTGCAATTTTCGTAGCAAATGGAAAGGCGATCTTAATCGTCACATTCAACGGTATCATTCTAACGAAACAAATCTTCAGGACATGGAAAGTAGTGATAATAGCACTAATGGTGGTGGTATTCCAATCACATCAAATATTATGTTACCTAATGATAATCAAGATGATGCAATGAATGAGGATTCATATTTGACTACTGGTGATTATGAAATGTACGAAATGGATGAAGATAACACAGGCTTAAGTCAAGATGATCAAGTCAATACTAACGATCAAGATAATGAACTTTCTGATGTAGATAATTCTGAAATAGTCAACGGCAATTCGGCCAAAATGTATAAATGCACATATTGCGATTTTATGTGTAGTACGGCATCACGATTTCATGTCCATTATGTTCAACATCTAAATACAAAACCATTTCAATGTTCGATTTGTGGTCATCGTTCTAATTGGGAATGGGATGTAACTAAACATATCAAAATGAAAGCCCAACGAGATCCAATCCATGAGAAAGCTCATCCTGTTTTAATTCATGATTCAGGAAAACGTGATTATTCAAAATATAATAAATTTGTTGTTTGGATTGGCCGAGATGAGGCAGACATTGCAAATGAAGTGAATAACCGAATCGATTTTCGTGCTCGACGATTCAAGAGTGAAGGCAATGAATATGAAAACGAAGATAATGGTTTTGGTGAAGCCGGTGGAAATTTACTAGTACCTGAAGTTAATTTCGAAATCGATGATGAAAGCAGTGTTGAAGTTTTCTCTAACACTACTCGAAAATATTCCAAAAAATCTTCAATTGTTTCTCGACATCCGAATTCTAGTTCAAAACTTATATCATGTTCTCAATGCGATTTTCGACATCATTTTGCTCGTGTTATGGTAGCTCACATGTCTAGTCATAATCAAACTAAACCATATGGTTGCAATGAATGTTCGTTTGAAACCAAATGGAGAGAGATGATCTTTGATCATTATTCTAGCATTCACGAAAATCTTAATCCTAACGATTTCGAGATACGATTTCGTTGTGCCATTGATGAAAACTCTGTTTGTCGAATACTTTCTGCCGATGAGGTTAGTCGTTTCGAGAAGAACAACATGTCAAACATTTCCCCTCCATCACAATCTACTTCAACAACAACAAGTATGACATTGCAAAATGATCATCACAATTCTAGTCTAATCGAACCAAATATTTATGAAGAAAAAACTGTGATTCGATGCGAACTTTGTCCATTCATTACAACCAACATGAAAAAGATGTCGATCCATTGTCGATTTCATAATCCCTCAAAAGGTTCCCTTAAATGCAAACAATGTCCATATTATATTAATAATCCTGATAAATTAAAGCGACATCAAAAATTACATCAAAAAACAGAATCAATTCCATTGACTGCACCATCACCACTATCGACTTTGCATCATTCTACAAATATGATTAATGAGAATTCAAATGATGTCGACTATCAACAACAATCAAAACTTAAATATTCTTCATTGATTTCCTGTTCCCTGTGTACATTCCAAACTTCAAATGTTCAATCATTGAATGATCATATGAATAATACTCATAATCATATACATTCCTCTCAAACAAATCTTGTTGCTGACGATAACATTGGCGATAATGGTGATTATGGATTAAGCGAAAATATTTTAGAACAAACACTTGTTGAAAATGTTTTTAAAAATGGCTCATCACCAACTAATAATAATGAAAATCAATCATCAAATAATACAAAAAATTATGATAATGATGATGATGATGATGATAAACATAATTTTATCGCTGTTGATAGCATCAAAAATAATGGTGAAGCTAAAATATTTTCATATGTTTGTCCAGGTCAGATAACAAATCTAATAAATTAAGTTTCAATATTTTAAAATAAAGTTATTTTTATTTATTCTATTCATACTTCATTTACGAATTTATAACTAAAATGACAGATTGTCCAGCGGCATTCAAGAGTCCGGGTGATTATAATGTTCATGCACATTTTCATTCATCTAATTATCAACATGCTTGTCCATATTGTACTTACAAGTTAGTAATTTAAAATTATTAGGTTAGAAATCAATGAATTATTTTAAATTCTATTTTTTTCGGCATAGAGCACGGAATAAGCCACAGTTATGCAAACATCTTTATGTACATACGGCTGAATATATAGCGAAACGAGCAAGTTCATATCCAGAAGGTACAAAATTAAAGGTTGAAAATCAAATGAATGCTAACAAACCGATTTCAAATAATCAAACATCATCAAAGAATAATTCAACAAATATTATGAACATGCCTTTAGTAAAAAAAATTTCAATAAAAAAAGCTGTACGCAGACATCGAACAAAAATGCCATTTCCGATGAAACCAGTGAAAGCTCGTCTGAATAGCGAACAAAATGGAAAACAAAACATAATTTTCAAAAATAACGATCTAATGGCCAGTCAAGAATTTTTAGAAACGAAAGAATATTTACAAAGAATCAATTCGGGTATCAAAAATCGTTGTATGTATCGTTGTTCAAAATGTCCAGCTGTATTTACTAAAGTCAATACTTTGATCTATCATACTTCATTGCATGAAGAAAATTATAGATTTTCTTGCGAATCATGTAACTATTCCACCGAAACTGAAGATAATCTTAGCATACATTCATTGTTACATAATCTGACTGAATCACAATCTGCTTTAGGTTATAATTTCAATTACAATTGTCATAAATGTCCAGCAGGCTTTTCGAAACGATCACGTTTAGAAAAACATTTATCATTACATGGTGCTCAATTCAATTGGAAATGCGATAAATGTGATTATTCGGTACGATATGCAGCTACATTAGTCAAACATCGGGCAATACATTTGATCAATCCTAATTTTCAAGCAATGGAATATGGCCAATTCGATAATATAATTAATGATGATGAAGATCGTGATCAAGAACAACATTCTTACACTGTTCATCAAATATCGAATGATGTTGATGATTGTGAAAACTATGCAAAACCAGATTTAAAATTGAAATTAAATCTAACCAAACTTCGAGACAATCTACATGTTGCTGGTACTAGCTTTCAAAAAGTTCAACAAGATGATGATGATGGCGGTGATGATAATAGCGTAGCTAATATGTCATCCATTGGACAAGATGACGATGATGAAGATTTACCTTATGGCGATGATGATGTTATGAATCCGTCTTTGTTATTAGAAGAAGGTGAAATGGAATAATTCAAATCGGGTTATATCAAAAATTATATTTTTCTTTCTCCTTTAATACTCTTTTTATTGCCAAAAGACAAGTTTTTTACTTTTTTTTTTTTGCAACAATCATATCGCACTCACCAACATGGCCATAACAAATAATTCATTTTTTCCATATAAAAAACATAAAGCCGGCTATTTTCTATATATGCAACAAAAAAAAACAAACAAAACTTTTCATTTCTTTTATATACCACCAATATTATACTACCCGAGCTTTCGAAGTATTCCACATCAATCAATCACAAACAAAAAAAAACATTTACTCATTAAATTCTTTTGAATATTACCGGAACCATTTGTATTATGTGATTTTGTTTCGATCGAAATTCTAATCTTAAATAGTGATTAAAATTTTTCAAAAAGAAATTTAAATTGTCTTTTTTTTATACAATGCAAGTAGTAAGAAAAAGAAAGTTTTGTCTTATTATTTTCTCCATTCTGTTCGTTGATGCATTAAAGCTTTGAAAATGGATATGTTACCGAAAGAAAGTGCACAATTTGTTATGTCTATATCGGATCATGTAACAATCGATACAAATTCTGTTAAAGAATTAGCAACGAGAGTAAGTGGTTTGTTTTATATAAATTTTTTTTTTGATGTGTAAACAAAAATTTTTCGATACACAGTTGAAAGAATCGGTAACGATCGATGAATATGATCTAAAAAAATGGAAATCGGATAATCCATTACATCCACAGGAAATGGTGGAAAAATCCGTTGATCATATATTCTTTATTGATAGTTTGAATTTTTCTTTCTGGCCTGATAAGAATCAGGATTTTTCTATCGATGGTGAAATTGGATATTGGGCACTTTGTGCTGCCGTCAAACGTGCATTAGATGAAAAAATACCAATTACTAATTCTGAATACTATAGTCATATAGAATTGGAGAAAATGCGTTATTTATTTCGTACTGACAATGGAATCGACATACCAATGCTTAATGAACGAGTATCTATATTGAATGAAAATGGAACCATTCTTATGAAGGTAATGAATAACTTTGATTATTCATATTGGCAATCATTATAATAATTTGTTTTATTCAATTATCAAGCATTTTTCGGGTACATTTGTCAATTGTATTCGTGCAAGTAATTATAGTGCTATCAATCTTTTGAAATTGATCTACAATTATTTTCCTTCGTTCAGAGATGAAAGTGAATATAAAGGAAAAAAGGTTACATTTTTGAAAAGAGCTCAGATTTTGATTGCCGATATTTGGGGCTGTTTCGAGGGCAAAGGATTAGGACGATTTGATGATATAGATCAATTGACAATGTTTGCCGATTATCGTATACCACAGGTTTTACATTATTTTGGTGTTTTAAAATATTCATCTGTTTTGACTGAAAAATTAAAAGAAAATAATCTTATTGAAAATGGCCATCCATTCGAAGTGGAAATTCGTTCAGCATCTATACATGCAATTGAATTAGTTCGTGAACAGTTGTCTATGATGATGATGATTGGTTCGAAAGCACCAAATTCAATACAAATTGATTTCTATCTATGGGGTTATAGACGAACCAATAGTAAACAAATCGATGATCAACATTCACCATTTCATCGAGTACGATGTATTTATTATTAAATTGAAATGAAATTAATTGAAAAAAAAAGAATAACAAAAATTTTAGATAAAAATGAATTTTATTTTGAAGAGGAAAAATATATGAAGAATAAACTATATTGGCGTAGGCTTGTTTATTATTATTATTATTAAAACATTAGCATTTATGTGAAACAATAAATGAAAATATACAATAGATAAATTTAATGAAAAGCCAACAAATGAATCATCTTCGATGAAAGGTTTTCATATTATGATACACTCTATCCAAAAAAGAAGAAGAAGAATACCTTTATGGAATTCATTTTTGCAAAGTATATATAGAAAAAATACAATACATTTAGACGGTGTGAGGATGGTGGCTTTAAAATTTTCTTTATCCAATGATAATAAAAGTATATAAATTATATTTCTTTTTCATTTATATATGAAATAATTAAAAAAACAAAAAACTAACGATTAATATAATGGTGTCAAAAAATGAATAAGAACGCGAAATAGTGAAGGGAAAGATTGAAACAAAAACGAAATATTCAAAGGTAGACCGTAAAAATTTGGAAATGATGAGAAAGAGAACGATTATATTATTTCGGATTGATAGCATATAACACACAATTAAATTCAATTGAATTGTGAAGAATCGATGTCCGAGGTAAATTCTGAAAGAATATCTGCAGCAATTTGACCATTAGAATCCCACAATGATGAACGCAATATCATTGGTTGGGACAAACCTTTTGTATCGTTTCCGATGTTAGACAAATCAAGGTTATCAAACAGGCTTGAACTGGAATTTTCATCCTCGATCTTGATCACTTTATTATGATTACTGGAATTGGTGTTAACAGCTCCAGCAGAGTGGTGTCCACCATCCATGATAGCCTTCGGAATGGTATTTGGTTCATTCGCGGAACCTGGATCCAGACCACCAAATTGATTATCGAACGAAAATAGCTGGTCAAAGAATGAAAAAAGAATGTATAGAATTAATAATATGAAAAGTAGTCAAAATATATACCCCAACCAAAGTAGATGGATCGATATTCAAAGAACCACCGTAAAGTTGATCTTGGAGCCAATTAAGTTCAGTATCGATTCCTTCAACATGATCATTGAAATTCCTACATGAAGAAACACCAAAACTTTATCAAAAAGATGACAATTAGAAAAAAAATCAATATATACTCAGAAGTAATCTTAGACAAATTAGCCGAATTGGTTGCTTTCTGCTTAGAAGGCAGAATTAAATCTGTACTGAAGTTGTTTTGATGGTTAGAAGTGGTCGGTTGAGGTACTGATTGTGAGACGTGATTAATAGTATTCAACAATTCTGCTTCAGTGATGATTGAATCAGCATTGTCAATAGTGTAATTTGGTTGATGTTGTTGATTAATAAGATTGTTCACTAATGGGGAGTTGTTCGCCTGATTAGCTAAATCGATTTCAAAAATTTGGGGCAAATCAATCATTGTATCTTTGGAGTTGGATAAATTTTTTCCTTCTCCAACATTATTTGAAGAAATCAACGATGTTGTTTGGTCGGAATTTGACGTTTGCAACAATTTATGGTTATTCGAATCATCCAAATCCAATTGTAATCCATTTATGAAGGATGGTGAACCATTATTAAGAGAATCATTCCTTGCATTGGGAGAATCCTTTAGATCTGTTATGTCATGAATGATCGGACCACTGTTTGAAGGTGGTGAAGGAATACAGATAGTGTTACTATCTTTATTTTTTATTATTTTACGACTGTTCGACACGTTGGAATCGATCAAAAGAGGAGCTTTGCGTTTCAAACCACCAACGACTCTATTTCGAACAATCGAAACTAGGAATTGAAGTAATTTTTCGACAATCTGCTGCTGTTTAAGATGCTTTTGTCGTAAAATGGCAATCTCACGCCAAAGAGCTTCATTTTCTTGTTTCAAATTATTCAACAAGGTGTCAACAGAGTCTTGCCGTCCTTTCATGGATTCTACATCAGCCAATATATCCTGAATGTCATCAACTTTAGTAATACTAGTCAAGCATTTGCTATTGTTGTTTGTAGACATCTGAGTAGCAACAAAAAAAAACATTTAGTCAATGCGAACATGTTTGACATGAAAATTATCATAATCTATAATACCTTGCGTTTGATCAATTCCAATTGATCTGCTTGTCCAAGACAGAAATGGTGATGAAAAAATTCTACTTCATCTCCATCCGATTTTAATCCACCATGTTCAATATTTGACACTTTACGGAATCCATCTGTTGAGAATTAAAAAAAATAATTGAAAATACATCAGGATTAAATATAATAAATTAAATACTTACACATATTTAATTGACGAATAAATGAGGCCATATTGCTGTGCTTGAAATATAATGGCAAAATTTCTTTGGCAAAACGCCCCTGATCTTTGATAATAAAACTACGTCCATTCTGTAAAAGATTGACAATTATCATTCAAATAATTTGGCCATATATAAATGAAACATACCCTATTCCAACAGATGAGATCATTGCTTGATTCATCGCAAACCAATTTCCATAATTTCAATATGAAAGTCGGTATATTAGCATTTGATCCAATTGTATGCATCTTGCTGATTAATCCAAGATCAATACGAAATCAATATAAAATGGCAAATTGTGACAATGATATTTTTAAAAAAATATATTCCAATAAAGAATTAATAATAGAAAGAAAACAAATAGAAAAATTCAGTAAATAAATTTCACAAAATGGCAGCTAATATTTATCAGAAAAAAAAAGTTTTTCATTCGATCGAATGAATTGTTGTTGTTGTTGTTGTTGTTGGGTATCGAGTTTATGCTGTATTCAACAAACAATGACAACAACAAAAATGGTACGATATTCATTCACAATCATCATCATGAGCAAAATGGAAAAAAAAAATTCAATCATCATCTAAAACACACACACACACACAAACCAAATTCAAGTGTCAGCAGCCGCAGCAGCAACAAAATTTTTATTAACATTAATAGGATATATACTTCATCACTTCAAACACATTCAAATCGTAATATAATGTAATTATATAAGAAATACAAACACAATGACGAAAATTTCAAAGAATCAAGAAAAAATGAAAAAAAACTGATAACTTATGCGGTCAGTCTATGGCAATAATCATAACGGTTATTATTATTTAATATTATCATTATAACGGTAAGTCTTTTTTTTTTTTTGTTGTTGCAACTATATTTCATCATCATGAGTAAATATAAAAACAATTGTTTTTTTTTGGGTAAATAAACGCACGTACAAACAACATACGTAAAACATATAAAGGTGTTGTGAATTTTCAAGAAAAAAAAAGCAAAGAAATTGAAACAAGAAAATCAAACAGACAAACCTTATAATCATATAATTGAAATTGTTGTTTTTTCTTCCAACAACTGATATATTCACTTTATCTTAAAAATAATTATTATTATTTGAGGAAAAATAAAATGCCTTTTAAAAATGAACTTAATTACAATGCTGTTGATGTTGTTGATTGTTTATTATTGATGATGGTGATGTTGATGTTGATGATGACGACGATGATGTTGAAGATTATATCAAGTATGTTTATATATTTAGTCGATTTTTTAAAAAAAAAAGAAAAAGCTAAAGAAAAAAGAGAATAAAATAAAAAATCATTGAAGTTTTTTTTTCTTCTTTATTCAAACACAAACAATATGCAATGACGACAGATCAAATGTTTTTTTGTTTTCATTAATATTGATAATAATGATGATTAAAGCCGAATATAAAAATCCAAATTTAATATTTAAAAAAAAAGAATTTTTTCTGGATCCAAGTAAATAAATTACGGGAAATCAAAAGCAATCGGTGTGTTATTGTTGTTGTTGTGTACCGAAAATCATCATACAATTGAATAAAATGAGTATACAATGTTTTTGTGTAAATGTGGCGCTAGCTTAGTCGTCGAAGAAAAAAAAAATAGATAAATATGAAATGAAAGCTTTTGCCTTAGTAAATAGGAAAATTTTTCGTATTGAAACGAGCAATATATACTTTTTTTTGCATTTATTTATGATGCTGATGATGAGGATGATGATGATGAACAACAGTAGCAGCCAAACAACCAAGGCAAAATAAAAGAGAGCGAGAGCTTTTTAATGAGCAAAATTTTATTAATATTCGATTCATAAAAATATCAATGTAATTGTTAGAGGTCGCTTTGATCGTTCAGCTATATAAACACAAGTGTGTGCGTGTGTGTCCATTTTTTTACATATACCATATTTCAAATGTTAACGTTGAAAAATTTTTCTTTTTTTTTGTTGGATATATTCAATCAATTTTTTTCTAATGTTTTTTCTTCTTTTTTAGTTGACTTATTTGATTGATCGATTAATTTATTATTGTTGTTATTATTGCCAAAAAGAAAAGAATACATCAATAACAGAAATGAATTATATCAATGAATAATGATGTTTGCTAAGAAAATGCACTTTTATCTCGGTCTGTGTATGTTAAGATAATGAATTAAATGTTTTATTTTCTCAATGAAAGAATATAAAAAAAAATGGAGTAAATTAACAAAACAAAAAATGAAATGAAATAACGCATAAATTTATCTTTTTATCTTTATTGGCTTTTTTATTTTTTTTTTCAATTTCGATTTGTTTGTATTTGTGATATCATTATCATCATGAAATTGTCATCATCATTATAAAGTTATCAATGAATGATGGTAAAAAGGAGCGAGGCCAAATAGAATGATTTTTTTCAAAAAAAAAACGGATGCATACAACAAAATTATGATTATGGTTGTGATGTAATCAAGTGTTAATACACTGTAAATTTTCGAATAATTTTTGAGCATATTTTTTGTGCATTACTATGTCGAAATAGACCCAATATACAAGCGGCGAACCACGTGATTTGGAATTTTTTTTTTAATTTGACAAATTGATTTTTTTTTTTGGCAAAAATGTTCATCGTTTTGAGTAAATCATTTTTAATCTTCGATAAAGATGATGTTATTTCTTACCGAAGTGATGACAATCGTCAAAAAGCTTTAATCGTATATGATTTGAAACAAGATTCTAGCAAATCGATTCAAATTGATTGGTGTTCGTCGCCTGAAATGGTCAAAAATGATTCTGGAGATATGAAGAAAAATTCCAATGAGCCTATTGTTTCTTTTAATACTGGAACAGTTTCAAATCAGCAAGATTTTATTGCCATTAGTGATGATTTGAAAAATGTCATCATATTTGATCGAAATTTTAAGAAAATCAATCAATTCAAAATTAAAAAGAATGCACAGAAAATGATTTTTACAAAAAATGAAGATAAAATTTTAATTTGTGACAAAGCTGGTGATATTTATGAATTTGACGTCAAACAATCATCAACAATAACAACGTCAGATGAAGAAAATTGTGGACGTTTACTTCTTGGTCATTGTTCAATGTTATTGGATTTTCTGCTTACCGATGATCAACGTTTTATAATTAGTGCTGATAGAGATGAAAAAATTCGTGTTACACATTATCCTAATACCTATAATATAAAAACATATTGTCTTGGTCATAGTCAATTTGTTTCAGTTATTCAATTAATCAATGAACAGACATTAGCTTCCGGATCAGGTGATGGTAAAATTAAAATATGGAACTATTTGAATGGAAAAATTTTGTATACACATGATTTCCATGAACAACAACCACAAGAACAGCAACAACCAACCAGCACAACAACAAATGGTGGTAACAAATCATTAGTGAGGTCAGATTTCGCAATTAAATCGATGACAATTGATCGTCAAAATAATGGACGCCATCTTTGTGTTTCATTTTTAAGCCAATTAATTTTGTATTTGTTCAAAATCGAATACCAAAATGATGATGAAAAACAATTCAAATCATTGAATATTATAACACAATTAAAATTGAACCAGATACCATTGATGATAAAATTTGATTCAAGTCATATAAATTTTCTATGGATTTTTGGTGCAGCGAAAGATGACAATGATAATAATAATGAACCAATTCAACTATATGAAGTAAAACAAAATGAACTAGCTCGTCCTTTAATTCGAATAAATGTGATTGATACATTGAATCAGAATGAACATTTTCGACGATCCGTTGCCGCTATTAAACGAGATCAATATGAATATTTATTCAAGCATCCTTTTCATGGCGAAATTGTTGACGAAAATTTTCAACACAAGAGGTCACGTATCAAAAGCGAATAATAAATAATAAATGTATGGACTTCCCTTAATAAATCGTCATCATCATAGTAATAATATCGCAAACAAGCTAACAATTTGTTGCCTGCCACATTCAATATTATTATCTGGTAAACACATCCGGATGTTTGAGCTAAAACGATGTTTATCCTGTTTTATTTTCTTTCTTTTTTTAATGATTATTTTGTTTACTAACAATGTTGGTTATCTTGTATTATGAACAATATTTTTTTGTTATGTATAACATTTGGATTATAATAACAAATCATAATTTTTTTCAATTGATCAATCAAATCAATTTTTGTTATTATTATTATTATTTGTTTTCTCAATTTCTATAAACAAATTAAAGAATGATGAATTCTAGAAATGAAAATAATCATAAATCAATTGATTCGATACGAAATATTAGTCAAAAAAGACTATTACATCATAGTGATTCGACTATATCATATCCGATATCAGATAATAATCAATGTTCACCAATATCAATTGGTTCCAGAGATAATCAATTATCGATGCAAGATAATATTAAAGAATTATTATCACGTTTAAATCAATCAGAAGATATTGAAACATCAACATCTCGTTCAATAATACATGGATTAATTTTGGTTACAATAATGATTACATCATTGGTTGCATTTGTTTGTTCAAAAGTTCGTCGATGTTCAAATTTTATTAATCTTTATGATTATGAACATTGTTCAAAATATTTTCTTTTCTATTCATCAATGACAATCATATCATGTTTGGCTACATTCATAATCTATTTTCTACATCTTATTTCACAATGTGACATTTTATGTTTAAGCAAAAAAAAATATGAATTTGAAATAATGTTCATTTCGATTATATCTTGTTTATTGGTTTTAAGTTCAATCTGTTATATGACACATACGAATATATTTGCCGAATCATTCACACTAGTCAGTTTTATATTTTCATCATTATCAAATGTTCTATATTGGTTACGAATTATTATACTGATTTATGAAATGTTACAAATAAAAAAACGATCACAAAGAAGATGTGCTATATTGAAACGTCGTTTAAATCTAGATCTACAACAACATTCAATCAATTCAAATCGTTTTGATAATGCTAAAGTGGTTAGCTATGTTCGTAATAATCAAAGAAGCAAAACATTATCGACAAGTTTATCCGATGATTTTGAAGATGATGTTTTTATTCAATAATTGGAAATTTGATTTTTTTTAATCAATGAATATTTTGTTAAAATAAGTTATTAAAAAGGTGTATCAAATATATTTTTTTAAAGAAATGCAACGATTATTCAACTCAATAAAAGAAAATGTTAAAACAACACCTGTTGAATTGCACTTATTTTTTGGGTTAGTTGTTTTGTTTTTCAAGCCATCGATTGTGATGAAACTCTTTCACCTTGGGCAATTTCATTATTCTGATGTCTTATGTAATTACGTTTTGCTTCATAACCGAAAATGGCACAGGCAAAAAATCCAAAAATCTAGATTTTTTTCGAGAATGAGATGTAACAATCGAAAAGATTTCATTAGAAGATGAATGAAAAAAACAATCATCAAACTGAAATACATACAGCAACTACTGTTTGTACACCACCACCAATCAACATTAATAATGATGAAACAAAATAAAATGTCGCCCAAACGATACTGTAACCAAATTCCTATTCAAATCAAATATTAATAATAACATTATTAAATATGACAAACATATTCATTCAATTTTTTCTATATAAATTAATAAATAATTACACCAAGAATCCAAGGAAAAGTGTACATTTTTTCCACTACATGAAATGCATATAATCCAAATAATGTAAGACTGATCCAAAATGCACTCATCGATGTAAAGCAATAGAAACTGACACGGCCATTGTTTGGTCCAAATTGTGCGACAATGAACGAAGCTAAACTTAAAATCTGCAACAAAAACAAAAAAGAAAAGAATTAATATTGTTGTTGTGGATAATGAATTTCAATGTAAATGAATTTTTTTTTTCTGTTCGGTTGTTTGGATTATGGGCCCCAATCAAATCAACAACAACAACAACAACAAAAAACATCTTTTTTTTACATACAATAACGACAATTTTCATAAGACCTTCATTTGAATTTAGATAATCCTTGTCGAACCAGATGATCGGTGTAACTGATGACGTTGTTGTAGATGTGGTTGGAGCACCAGTTGTTGATTGGTATGATTGCATTGTAGAATTAATTTAAATCAAATAATCGTTTGAATGAAACTAAAAAGAAAAAAAAAACAGTAATTATTGTTTTCGTGTAAATTTACACACCAAAGAGTGTCATAGAACTTGATAGACTAGAAAAAAATATTGGCTAAATTATCAATTAGTTGAAACGAAAAAAAAGTGACAATCATATAAAAATTGATTGAAAAAATTGTAGAAATCTTTTTCTTATATCGATATCATCAATGTATTAATGTGGGTTTGTTTGTGTAAATATTTGGGTAAAGTATAAGGAAAAGATGATGTTTAAAGTGTGGATATGTTATGTTCATGGTTGTTGGGGTGGTGGTGGTGGTGGCAGTAGCAGATTATTATTCAACAGTTCCAATATGACTCATGGTAATCATAATATGGCTTGCATAGAATGATCATCATGATCATAGGGCAAACATATCTTTTTTCTTTAAGAAAAAAATAAAATAAAGTAAGTTAGTTTTATCTCGTTTTCTATCGAACGTTTTCATGATCAATAATCATTTCCGATAATATTTATTTTGCTGATAATCCTTTTTTTTGTTGTTGAAAATATAAACACAGGATCATAATGGATCATTCTATTTTAACATATTAATGTGAATGTCTGATTTGATAATCGATTAATTTATGCACGGAAACTTGCCAAAAAATAACAAAATATATTTTTGATTATAATCCAAAATTGCTTATAAGTTTTCATTCTTTTTCAATATGTAAACGAATGATTATTATCTTAATATATCGATTTGCCTATCTTTAGTATTAGTATTTTTTTTCATTTTCATCAAAATTATGGTGGGTGGTAATCCAATGCAGCATGAAAAGTAAGTAAAAATTTAAAAAAAAAACAAACGATTTTTTGTTTAATATTGGCGTTATTGATTTTGTTTTAAAGTTTATTATCATTTGATTGATCATTTTTAGACAAAGGATTGGATTGTTGTTTTTTGATCACTCATGATGGAAAATGAAATAAACGAAACTGAACCTTTATTGATCAATTATGATCGCCGAACTGATGAAATAAATATCGAAGATAATCATCAGCTAATCGAATCCGAACAACAACAATCATCATCAGGTCAATCATTAGGATTTTGGTCAGTAATATTTTTAACTGTCAATGCTACATTGGGTGCCGGTCTATTGAACATACCATATTCATTCGATAATTCTGGTGGTATTGTATTTGCTTTAATTTTACAATCGATTCATGTTTTATTGGTCATTTGTTCATTAATGATCATTAGTTTTGGTACAAAAATTTCCAAAGTTAATTCATTACAAAATTTAATTGGATATTATTGTGGTTCATCATGGTCAAATTTATGTGCATGTTCAATTTTCATCTATTCATATGGTGCATGTATTACGTATCTGATTGTCATCGGTGATCAATTTGATAAAAGTAAAAAATTTTTGTTTTTTTGAGATTTTTTTTTCACTCATTTTCTAACATCGTTCTATTTCATTTATGATTTTTAAGTATTAGAATTTTATTATGGTGTCGACTATTATAAATATTGGTATCTACATCGAGATTTTCTTGTCATGACCATTGCCATCGTAGCCATTCTACCACTTTGTATATCGAAAGATATTTCATTTCTTAGATTTGCCAGTTTTATTGGTTTTTTATCTACATTTTACATAACATTACTTGTTATGATTGAATATATTAAATTACCATCAATCAATGCGAAAATTCGAACCGAACCGAATCGTTGGACCGATATTTTTAAAGTATTACCCGTATTGACATTTTCATTTCAATGTCAAACAAGCTGGGTGCCTACTTTTGCTGAAACAAAAAATTCTAGTAATCTTCGAATATTTTTGATGATTTTCTTTTCCATGTTCATATGTTTTCTAAGTTATTCATGGACAGCCCTGTTCGGACTGTTAACATTTGGTTCATCCAATATACAAAAAGATATGATGCAAAATTATGATCCACGTGATCCATTCGTAGCCATTGGTAAATTTTGTTTTGTTAACAAACTTGTTCATTATGTTTCTGTTTAATTTTTTCCACACAGGGATGGTTCTTTTAATCATAAAAACTATTGTTGTTTATCCAGTTTTATTATATTGTGGTCGAATTGTAATCGAACAATTATTTCCATTTTCCGATAATACTCAACAATCAAAACGAAGAAATTCAATACGTATAACATGTGCCATAATATGGGTAGTAACATCAGCAACATTGGCTATTTATGTGCCAAATATTGGTGTTGCCATCAATTATCTAGGTTCTTTGGCCAATCTATTTGTATTCATATTACCCGGACTTTGTTTATACATGATACTATTCGATGAACGACAATTTCAAATGATCAAACATGAATATGGATTTTTAGCCAACAAATCTTTGATACTAGTCATTTCTACTTTATTCATATCATATGGAATCGGAGTTTTTGCTTATTCAATTTGTCTTTCAATTTTAGAAATCGTTCAAGAACAAATGGTTCTTGAACAACACACATTTTATTAACATAATATGATTTTTTTAATTATTATTATTATTATTCAAAAGACAAAATAATTATGTAATGAATTGATTTTGACAAACTTTTTTTTTATACTTTACTTTACTTTAGAATAATTTCAAATGTTCAAATATAATCTTGAAAATTAAAAGAAACGATGAAAGTTAAGATATATATATAATACAATTTAATCGGGTTTTTCTTTTTTGAATAAATCGATTGCTGATGGTAATGGTGATACGGATGGTAATCGACTCAAATCAGGTAAATTTTGTAAATGTGATTGTAGTTCTTCGCGTACCGAAATAACTTTTCTCAGTTTATCTCGATATTGTTTAAGACTTTGTTCTGCTTGTGTCAATGCACGACGTTGGCCTTCAATAAAATATACCAACATAGTGGATAATTGTTTACGTCCTTCCAATTCTTTGGCCAATCTGGTGTTATATGATGTCAATATATTCTGTGCTTCATTCACTAATTGTACCCAATTTTCAGTCGGTCCATTCGATATAACTTTTTCAAACAATTTTACATCGAAAAGTTCGGATGGCATGCTGGCAATTTTTTTTCGCATATCTTCATCAGCCGAAGCACAGTTTTCCAATTCTTTTAATATTTTAATCAACTTTTCCGATTCAATATTTTCATAATTATTCATATCGACTGGATATTCAGCTGCAATCTTTGATCCAATTTTTGTCATCATAGTATTCATAACTTCTGCATCAAGTTGAAAATCTGGTGAAAATTTTTTATTACTACTATGAATATGACCATTTCCATGTGATGAACTTTCTTCGTTTTCTCGTTTCAAATGTTTTTTCGTATGTTTATTATTATTAGTATTGCTGCTGCTGATATTATTATTATTATTATTATTATTATTTATCGTTTCAGTATCCTGAACTATTGTTGTTGTATTTGAATTGGATTTTGATGATGTTTTAATGTTTAATGCTTGTTTGAATGATGTTATATGATTTTTTTCATAAATGTTTCGTTCTTCCCAAATTTTCAACAAACGTTCCAACGATGATAAAGTCGATGATTCTATTTCACTGTTAATATTATAAATAATTAATACAATAATCAGTAAATTCATTATTCATTATCATACTTGGATATATGTTCGAATGCTTTAAGCAAAACGGTAAGAAATTCTTTGGAAAATTCGGGTCCCTTTTTACGGCTATTCTGAATGACATCGTTGGCCAGATACATATAGGTTAATCTTTTTGCTGGTTTAGCTATAGATAATTATCATTTTTAATCAAGAATCAAACAAGGAAAAAATTGAACAAACCTTTTTTCAATGATTGAAACCATGTTTGTACAATCGATTTATAATGTTTTCGATGATGTATAAGCCATAACGATACTGTCTGTATTGATTGTTGTGAAGAATTTAATTCATTTAATTTCTTTTCAAATGCTTGCTGTGTAAAGCCAGACATGATTTTTAATTGATGATTTTATTTGTCCAAAACAAAAGAAACAATTTGTCGTGTCGATCAAATATTAATTTCAGGTCATACTATTTCAGATGGCGATGATCAATTCAATTCAAAGGTAAAACAAATAAAATGCCATTATACACACATATGGATAAATAATAAATATTAATATCAAAGCATCAAAACAAGAATTTGATGCATCAATATTTTTTTGTTTAGTCAACAAAATCAGAAAAAAAAAATATTGAATTCAATAAAGAGCATGCTTGAAATTGGAATATAATCAGCTGTTCAATGATAAAGTGTCGAACAAACAAACAAACAAAAAAAAAGAAGAAGAAGAATATTTAAAAACTTACTTTTTTTTGTTGTCAAAAATATTTAGGTAAATGAAAAAAAAATTAAAATTAAAAAATATAAACAAAATAATTTCGAGAATAAGGATAATTATTGTATTGAAAAAAAAGCACCAGAAATTTTTCCAACAAACATTGTTCATGAATGGCGTTCCATATGAATGAATGCTGCCATTGTTCAAGCTGAATGCATTCAATTGAAACACACACACAAACACGTTTGGAAGGGTTCGCCATCTGTATGTTGAACATACATTACCTCCATGAATTAATTAATGATACAATTTCATCGAGCAAAATAATTTTCCGTTCCAGAATCTGATTCTCTAAATTTTTTTTTTGCCAGGATTATTTATGTTCTATAGTATTCGATTGACGATAAAATCATGACAACAACAGCTAATTGGACAAAAAATACCACCAACTATAAGTATAACGCTTCGAATGTTTTGAATTTGACTGTCAACCGTACAATAAATTTGTAATGAACATTTTAAATGATTAAAATATATTGAACATTTAGAATAATTTTTCTTTCAATTTCAATTTTTAGATATCCTCTTTCGAACTATACATTCGGTACGAAAGATCCATTGTTTGAAAAAGATCCATCGGTTGAAGCACGTTTTCAACGGTTGAGAGATGAATTCGAAAAAATTGGTCAACGTCGATCGGTTGAAGGTGTTTTACTTGTACATGAACACAATTTACCTCATGTATTATTACTTCAATTGGGTACGGCTTTTTTCAAATTACCTGGCGGTGAATTAAATCCCGGCGAAGATGAAATTGATGGTCTCAAACGCCATTTAACTGAAGTAAGTTTTATTGTTTTTAATTTTCACAAATATAATTTTCAATTAACAAAATAGACTCTTGGCCGTCATGATAATGTTTCACATGATTGGGATATCGAAGATACTATTGGCAATTGGTGGCGTCCAAATTTTGAACCACCACAATATCCATATGTACCACCACACATTACCAAACCAAAAGAACATAAACGTTTATTTCTTGTACAATTACCGGAAAAGGCTTATTTTGCGGTGCCAAAAAATTATAAACTTGTTGCTGCACCTTTATTTGAATTATATGATAATTCACAAGGATATGGTCCAATCATTTCAAGCTTACCTCAAGCATTAAGCCGTTTTAATTTTATCTATATGGAATCATGTAATACTAACAACAACAATAATAATAATACAGAAAATCAAAATAGCAGTAACAACACTAATAATACCAATAATAAATCGTAAGGCAGGCAAAAAGAAAATACTGATCTGATCTCTAAAACATTCAAAAAACAAAACAACAAAAAAAATATTCATCATTTTTTTTCGATAATTTCATTTTGTAATCCAATTATAATTAATTAATTAAATATTTTTTTTTCATTTGAAATTCTAATTGAAAAATTCCATTACGTTGTATACGAATTGTAAATGAGATTCGAATCCATCGCAATTAAATTCTTGAAAAACAGACACGATATTTTTATTTCTGTCCGAAAAAAAGATTTTATTTTAAAATATTTTTTAAAAATAAAATTTCTTTACAAATTTCATATGCCTTCATTGGAATCTACATTGAATGTGTAAGTAATTAATTTCATGACATGTGATTGGGATTTTCACCGAAATATTTGTTATTAAAATACAGTTATCCATTGAAAAATTATTCATTCATAACGAAAGATAATGATTTGGTAAACAAAGATCCATCATTACCAGGTTATTTGAATCGATTAAAACATGAATTTAAATATATGGGTCAACGTACATCGATTAAAGTCGTATTGTTAGTTCATGATAAGAATATGATCAATGTTTTGTTGCTACAAATGTCACCAGAATTTTATTTATTACCTGGTGGAGAGATTCAACCAAATGAATGTGAACAGGATGCATTGAAACGATATCTTTTAGATGTAAATTTTTATGCTTAATTTACTAAATGTTAATTTGTTATTTTTTTACATCCAGTATTTTGGTCTCGATATCGATACACAAGCCAAACCAATCGATATAATTGCTCATTGGTGGCGTCCAAATTTTCAAGAAGATCAATATCCATACATACCGGCACATATATCCAAACCAAAAGAATTGACCAAAATTCACCTTATTTCATTAACCGAAAAGGCAACATTATCTGTACCAAAAAATTATACCGTTGTTGCAACACCTTTGCTTGAATTATATAATAATGTTGACAGTTATGGAGAAATTACAGCAAATCTTCCACATGTATTAAGTCGATTTAATTTTAAAATCATCAAATAATTTAAATTTGTTTTTTTTGTATGGAAAATTCTGAAATAAAAAGAATCTTTTCATTTTGTTTTTAATGAAAAAAAATACGAAATTTAATAGTTAAATTATTTAAATTATACCAGGGATGCGAGCGTGGTGTTAATACAAAATTTATGTTTCAATTTTCTAAATTAATTTTCCAAATTGAAAAAATGTTTTTTGGGGGATATTCTGATGGATCGGAAGAAAATCATATTTTTTTCTGTTGATTGCAAACATGACAACAACATGCATCCATACGAAACGAAACGAAACGAAAAATTTGAAAAATGAATTTCATGTCACACAATGTCACCTATACCAAACGACAACGATGATGATGAAGGGGCAAGAGAGAAAAGATAATTGGAATTTGATTTTTGATGTAATTTTAATATCATTTTTTTTTTGTTTTGTTTCGGATTCAATGATTCTAGGCTAATTCCAAGGTTTCTGGTTCTATTGATAAAAAAAAAAAATTTTTCAACATTTTTTTTTAAACATAATTCAAAAGAAGCAAAACCAAAAAAAAAACATATCAAAAACACATCAGCAGCAAGAAAATGTTGCCTTTTGACAGCCCAAAATATATAAAAATGGTTGTTTGCAACAACAACAGTAACATTGGCAAAATATATTCACCATGAGAATTATTACGGAATTTCAAGTCGACAATTGACAACAATTGTGCAATAAACAAAACAAAACAAAAAAATTCCTCAACATAAAACGACACGACAAGAATGAAAACTAAACCAAATTTTGACAATTACTTGTTGTTTTGTTTCAAATCTCTTCTCTTCATATCAGTTGAGCAAAAATCAAAACAAAAACAACAGAAACAGCGACAGAATAACCATGAAACAAAAAATCTGATTCGCAAGATGATTAATGATTCTTTTCTGGATAAACAGAACGGAAAAAAAAATCTGAAATGAAATCCAGACGGATTTAAAGGATAAAATGGAAACTGAGAAAAGTTTCAAAAAAAAAATGGTTCCAATAGTTTTTCGGCCCCTCTCTACATGGTTATTTTTGGGAAAATTTTTTTTAAAGTTATTGAATAACAACAAGACAAACAAATCAGATCTGAAATTTATGATTGTTTTTTTCCTTTTTCAATCATTATTTGTTTGTTTGTTTGTTTTCTTTCATTGCTTTATCAACTTGGAATTAATTACACACACGAAAGAAGTAGAAGAAAAAAGTTTGATGCTAAATTTGAATTGCAAATTTTTTAGCAAAAATCGAAAAATCGAAATCGAAACAAAACCAAAATGGAAGAATCCATATCAAGTGGGGTGTACATTTCAAAAACGAAATTTTCGTTTTTTCTTATTCTGGATGTTTTGCGAAAAGAAGTTTACAAAAAAAACAAAAAAATCAATTATCAACAAGTAAATGTTTCTTATAAATCATCATTTCAAATTAGCCAGTTTCGAGGGCAATAAATTCTCATTGGGAAAAAAAATTTGTCAATGAGAATTTGACGTCATTTTTTTAGATGGGAAAGAAAAGAATTATTATAAGGGAATTTTCAATGACAAAAAACAAAAGACAAAAAAAAAAGTGTCAACCAATGCCATTATCGAAGGATTATATTTGTGTGTGACAAACAATTTATTTCTTCAAACATTTTTCGTTCAACATTTTCTTATTTTTGTGGTCATTACCAATGATCATCATCATTCGCTGGCCGTTTCGATTGGCAAAGGAAAAACAAAAAGCGAGAAAAAAACAAGTGTTCCATTTGGGCCAAATATTTCATCCATCCATTCTATTCTGGTTTATATTTGTGAACATGTCCAATATGCCCGGCAACCATTTTTAGTTGCCCATTCAAAAAAAAAAAATTATTAACATGAAACAACATTTATGTTGCTTGGGTGATTATTATTATTATTATATATGACCATCATATTGGTCAATGTTAAAATCATCGCCATCATCATTATATTGGGATCCTTCCACAAAACGAAAAAAAGAAAAAGAAGAAAATTCTGATTGTCAAAACGAACGAACGAAAGAAAGAAAGAATGAAAAATTCTGACAAGACAGACCTAATTTGTATCACCAACAAAAGACACAAGAATGATATAGTCTCGCTTTAGATTAATATTTCTAGTTTCCATTATTATTATTATTATCATTATTGGCCAGTTGTCAAACAAACAAACAAACAGAAAAAAACTATATCTAAATATGAAACAGACAATTATCAGATTTTTTTTCTTCATTTTGCTTGTTTACCCAATTTTTCCATTCTATTCTGTTGTTGTTGTTGTTAATGGAAAATGATTTATGGTCATATTTTTCGTTTGCGCTGAAGAAGAAAAAGAAAAGGAGAAAATTACATCAATAATATCTGATTAGATAATAATTATGACAAATTTTTTTTTTTTGGAGTAAAAAAAAAATTCTTCAATGAAAAATATTTTGTTTCGGGAACTTTTCGTGAATGAATTTCTTCTCTGGTTTATCAATGTGAAGTGCACTGACCTTGGTTGTTTCATTCCATCATGACTATTGGGTGTTGGTGTTTGTAAACATACGGTAAGAGAGAGAGAGAGAGAGACAGAAATCCAACAACAGTTGGGCTTTTCCAATATGGACCGAAAGAGATTCAAAAAATGGTTCATTTTGATCATCATCAATGCTGATTCATTTTTTTTTTTTTTTTTTTGTAAAAATCCCTTATCAAAACACACATACACACAGAAAGTCTAACAGGATGATCAGAATTGATTCAATGAGTTTGCGTATCACTAAAAAAAAAAAAATTATCATCATCAATTTCGAATCGGTTTCTGTTGTTAGACGAGAGAAAAAAAAATCCATTTTGTGCAAATTTTCATTCCTCTCTCTAGATTTTCTGATTGTATGGAATAGGTTGCCAAAAAAAAAAAGAAAAAAAATTCGTGAAAACATGGTACATACATTCGAATCATAATGATGATGATGATGATCAATATTATATAATACATCTGTTCACCAAAATAATTTCATTTCATTCATTCATTTTCGTTCGTAAATGTATTTGCGTGTGTTTTTCATGTTGTTGTCGTGTGTGCATTGTTGCATGGGATGCTGTTATTGCTATTGTTTGCTAGTTAGTTTGTTGGCCCATTGGCAACAATTAGTATTTACTGGAATAAATGTCCAATCACTCTCACTTTCACTCGGTCTACACTCGACGACAAATGAATGGATCCGGTGTTGGAATCAAATAGTGAAATTAGTTGAGATTTTTTCAATTTTTTTTTCTCCATTCTAATTATGAATTTTTCAATCAAAACTTTGATTTTTTGTTTCTGTTGTTATCCCCTTCGATGAACAACTTTTTCTTTCCTCCATAACAAACGAAAAAGTTATAGCAAAAATTTATCGGAAATTACTTTTCGATAGTGTCTGGCTGTTGATTGTTATTATACTCGAAAAAAAAATACTTCAATATAATCATTATCTCTTGATTTTGTTCGGGTAAATCCTAGAGATTTTTTCACAAACAAAATAAAAAACCAAAAGTGATTGAAAATATAATTCCTTTCCGAAAAATTTTCCAAAAAAACCAAACCAGAATTCATTCAAGTGTGTGGATCGATGATTAGGTTCTGATTCTGGTTTTGTTTTTTGTTTTGTTGTCTGTTGGACACACAAATAAGCTAGATTATCTGGTCAATTTAAGTGTGTGTTAAACACACACACATTTAATATCTAAAAATGGCCTGGAATAATGAAAAAAATTCCTGAATTGATTGGATAGACCCAAAATGATAAAGTTATCGAGAAACAAGAACAAAAACAAAATTACAATGTTTCCAATGAAAATTGATTGAATCGATTTAAAAGTAAAATGAATGGATGGTTTTGTGTTTGAAATATTGTCAAAGTGCACTTGATTTTTTTTTTACTGGTTCAAAATTCTCAGCTATTTTTTTTTCATTTTGTATTATTTCTTCTTTTGACTATCTTTCGATCGGTTACCGCCTACCGTTTGTTGTTTGTGTCATTTTTTTTTTTAAATCAAATCTGAACTAGGAAAAAAATCAAACTAAAGAATGAAAAAGATTCGGGATGCCAATCTAACTGGGAAAAAAAAGAAGAAGAAAAAACTATAGTTTGGTTGATTGGTTGGCTACAATAAATGGATGGATGGATGGATGGTTTGGTTGAAATAGTTGGCGTGCGTATTTGCCCAAAAACCAAACCAAAAAGATTCGTTTACTCCCTTGTTTCATCATCAGAAATACTTGTTTTTCTGTATGTTTAATTTTCTTTTTTTGCTTTGCTTTGCTTTGTGTTTTCGCATCATTCATTCATCCATTATAAATAACTGGTTGGTGTGTGTGTTTGGAACACACACACACACACACACACATTGAAAATGATGTCTTTTCAAAATGAATAATCGATCGATTTAGAGAGAGAGCGAAAAAAGATAAGACTTTCATTCAACAATAACAACAAAATTAGATAATTCCAAAGGAGTCCCGACCAACCAACCAACCAACCAACATAGTAAGCTAAAAAAAAAGAGTAAAATTCAGTCAAAAGGAGGAAGACCGAAGATTTGCCACCGATCCATTTTGGTTTCCATCAATGTATATGTGTGTGTGCCAAGAAAAGAAAAAAGAAAAGAAAAGATGTGAATAGAAAAGGAAAAAAAGGGGGAAAATCAAGGCGTTTTATAAAGAAAAAAAAAGAAAGTTGAGAAAAGTTTTTTTTTTGGGATGCTAAGCATCATCTATTTTATTGCTTCTTCTCCATCATCATCATCGTTTTTACATTTGGAATTACGAATCTTTTTTTGCCCCATTCGCTTTGTGTGTGTGTGATAACTGATATGAGAACAACATTTTTTTTTTGGATGACGACAATAATTTCAGGAAGAAGAATGGATGCCAGAATATATTGTATTGAAGGGGAAAGGAAAGGAAAGAAGAAGAAAAAAAATGTTTCCACAATGAAATAGAAACAGGGAACCATTTCTA